CAGCCCAAAGCCCTACCGAGAACCCAGCCCAAAGCCCTACCGAGAACCCAGCCCAAAGCCCTACCGAGAACCCAGCCCCAATACCTACCAAGAACCCACCCCAAGCCCTACCAAGGACCCACCCGAAGCCGGACAGACACCCACCTGGAGCCCGAACAGTCACCCACCCGGAGCCCGACCAGTCAAACACCCGGAGCCCGCCAGTTTAGTAAACCGGAGCCCGCCAGTTGAGTGAACCGGAGCCCGCCAGTTGAGTGAACTGGAACCCGTCAGTTGAGTACCTGGAGCCTGCCCCGAGCCCTACCGAGAACCCACCCTGAGCCCGACCAAGAACCTACCCCGAGCCCTACAGATGTTCCCCAAGCCCGAGAGCCTATCCCGATCCCGAAAGAGCCCACCCCGAGCCTGACCGGGAGCCAACCCCAAACCCTACCAAGAACCCACCCCCAAGCCCTACCAAGAACCCACCCCCAAGCCTTACCAAGAACCCACCCCCAAGCCCTACCAAGAACCCTGCCCTAATACCTACCAAGAACCCACCCCAAGCCCTACCAAGAACCCACCCGAAGCTGGACAGACACCCACCTGGAGCCCGAACAGTCACCCACCCGGAGCCCGACCAGTCAAACACCCGGAGCCCGCCAGTTTAGTAAACCGGAGCCCGCCAGTTGAGTGAACCGGAGCCCGCCAGTTGAGTGAACTGGAACCCGTCAGTTGAGTACCTGGAGCCCGCCCCGAGCCCTACCGAGAACCCACCCTGAGCCCGACCAAGAACCTACCCCGAGCCCTACAGAGGTTCCCAAAGCCCGAGAGCCTATCCCGATCCCGAAAGAGCCCACCCCGAGCCCTACCGAGAACCCACCCCCCAAGCCCTACCGAGAACCCACCCCCCAAGCCCTACCGAGAACCCACCCCCCAAGCCCTACCAAAACCCACCCCCCAAGCCCTACCAAAACCCACCCCCAAGCCCTACCAAGAACCCAGCCCTAATACCTACCAAGAACCCACCCCAAGCCCTACCAAGAACCCACCCCAAGCCCTACCAAGAACCCACCCGAAGCTGGACAGACACCCACCTGGAGCCTGAACAGTCACCCACCCGGAGCCCGACCAGTCAAACACCCGGAGCCCGCCAGTTTAGTAAACCGGAGCCCGCCAGTTGAGTGAACCGGAGCCCGCCAGTTGAGTGAACTGGAACCCGTCAGTTGAGTACCTGGAGCCCGCCCCGAGCCCTACCGAGAACCCACCCTGAGCCCGACCAAGAACCTACCCCGAGCCCTACAGAGGTTCCCCAAGCCCGAGAGCCTATCCCGATCCCGAAAGAGCCCACCCCGACCGAGAACCCACCCCCCAAGCCCTACCGAGAACCCACCCCCCCAAGCCCTACCGAGAACCCAGCCCCAAGCCCTACCGAGAACCCAGCCCCAAGCCCTACCGAGAACCCAGCCCCAAGCCCTACCGAGAACCCAGCCCCAAGCCCTACCGAGAACCCACCCCCCAAGCCCTACCGAGAACCCAGCCCCAAGCCCTACCGAGAACCCAGCCCCAAGCCCTACCGAGAACCCACCCCCAAGCCCTACCGAGAACCCACCCCCAAGCCCTACCGAGAACCCACCCCAAGCCCTACCGAGAACCCACCCGAAGCCGGACAGACACCCACCTGGAGCCCGAACAGTCACCCACCCGGAGCCCGACCAGTCAAACACCCGGAGCCCGCCAGTTTAGTAAACCGGAGCCCGCCAGTTGAGTGAACCGGAGCCCGCCAGTTGTGTGAACTGGAACCCGTCAGTTGAGTACCTGGAGCCCGCCCCGAGCCCTACCGAGAACCCACCCTGGGCCCGACCAAGAACCTACCCCGAGCCCTACAGAGGTACCCCAAGCCCGAGAGCCCATCCCGAACCCGAAAGAGCCCATGCACCCTGAGCCTGACCGGGAGCCAACCCTAAGTCCTACCAAGAACCCACCCCGAAGCCCTACCAAGAACATACCCGAAGCCGGACAGACACCCACCTGGAGCCCGAACAGTCACCCACCCGGAGCCCGACCAGTCAAACACCCGGAGCCCGCCAGTTTAATAAACCGGAGCCCGCCAGTTGAGTGAACCGGAGCCCGCCAGTTGAGTGAACTGGAACCCGTCAGTTGAGTACCTGGAGCCCGCCCCGAGCCCTACCGAGAACCCACCCCGAGCCCTACCGAGAACCCACCCCGAGCCCTACAGAGAACCCCCCCCCCCGAGCCCTACCAAGAACCCACAGACCCCCGAGCCCTACCAAGAACCCACACCCCCCCGAGCCCTACCAAGAACCCACACCCCCCCGAGCCCTACCAAGAACTCACACCTCCCCGAGCCCTACCAAGAACCCACACCTCCCCGAGCCCTACCAAGAACCCCCCCCCCCCGAGCCCTACCAAGAACCCACACCCCCCGAGCCCTACCAAGAACCCCCCCCCCCCCCGAGCCCTACCAAGAACCCACACCCCCCCGAGCCCTACCAAGAACCCACACCCCCCCCCCCCGCCCTACCAAGAACCCACACCCCCCCCGAGCCCTACCAAGAACCCACACCCCCCCGAGCCCTACCAAGAACCCACACCCCCCCCGAGCCCTACCAAGAACCCCCCCCCCCCGAGCCCTACCAAGAACCCCCCCCCCCCCCCCCCGAGCCCTACCAAGAACCCACACCCCCCCCCCCCCCCCGAGCCCTACCAAGAACCCACACCCCCCCCGAGCCCTACCAAGAACCCATACCCCCCCCCCCGAGCCCTACCAAGAACCCACACCCCCCCCCCCCCCCCGAGCCCTACCAAGAACCCACACCCCCCCCCCGAGCCCTACCAAGAACCCCCCCCCCCCCCCCCGAGCCCTACCAAGAACCCACACCCCCCCCCGAGCCCTACCAAGAACCCACACCCCCCCCCCCGAGCCCTACCAAGAACCCACACCCCCCCCCCCATGCCCTACCAAGAACCCACACCCCCCCCCCCGAGCCCTACCAAGAACCCACACCCCCCCCCCAAGCCCTACCAAGAACCCACACCCCCCCAAGCCCTACCAAGAACCCACACCCCCCCAAGCCCTACCAAGAACCCACACCCCCCCAAGCCCTACCAAATACCCACACCCCCCCAAGCCTTACCAAGAACCCACACCCCCCCAAGCCCTACCAAGAACCCACACCCCCTCCAAGCCCTACCAAGAACCCACACCCCCCCCAAGCCCTACCAAGAACCCACACCCCCCCCCAAGCCCTACCAAGAACCCACACCCCCCCAAGTCCTACCAAGAACCCACACCCTCCCAAGCCCTACCAAGAACCCACACCACCCCAAGCCCTACCAAGTACCCACACCCCCCCAAGCCCTACCAAGTACCCCCCCCCCCAAGCCCTACCAAGAACCCACACCCCCCAAGCCCTACCAAGAACCCACACCACCCCAAGCCCTACCAAGAACCCACACCCCCCCAAGCCCTACCAAGAACCCCCCCCCCCCCCAAGTCCTACCAAGAACCCACACCCCCCCCCAAGTCCTACCAAGAACCCACACCCCCCCCAAGCCCTACCAAGAACCCACACCCCCCCCAAGCCCTACCAAGTACCCACACCCCCCCCAAGCCCTACCAAGAACCCACACCCCCCAAGCCCTACCAAGAACCCACACCGGGCCAAGCCCTACCAAGAACCCACACCCCCCCAAGCCCTACCAAGAACCCCCCCCCAAGTCCTACCAAGAACCCACACCCCCCCCCCAAGTCCTACCAAGTACCCACACCCCCCAAGCCCTACCAAGAACCCACCCGAAGCCGGACACCCACCTGGAGCCCGAACAGTCACCCACCCAGAGCCCGCCAGTTGAGTACCTAAAGCCTGCCCGGAGCCCCGACCGACAACCCACCCCAAAGCCCCGACCGACAACCCACCCCGGAACCCCGACCGACAACCCACCCCGGAGCCCCGACCGACAACCCACCCCGGAGCCCCGACCGTATCTCAGAATTCTCATTATCTGCTGATGTAGACCTGACCAAATGTAAACTGTGTATCAAGATTGTAACTTGCTTAGCTAAATGAGATCGTATTCCAGGGACCTGCCCGAAACACTACGCGTACTAGTGGCTGTACAAGAATGTAACAACTCTTGTATATATCCCCCCCCCCCCCAAAAAAAAAAAAAAAAGTTATGGGGTTCAGTCCAAGAGCCCATTATGTGCCTCTATAACCCTCTCCACTACCACCCACAAGATGGGTATGGGGTGCATAATAAATGAACTAAACTAAACTATTGCAGTATTTGTACATTGGCCTGTCGCTTGTCACTAAACTTAGTTGTTAACTATTAACTTGATGAAATAATATTACCTTATACGCGAGAATAATTCTGAATACACAGCGATAAAATTGACGAATGAGGCTTTGGGTCGGGCGGCGGCGTAGGCCAGCCTGGCCTGAGGACAGGCAATTGTAAATGCCTCTCCCTCTATATACTTCAAGTGAAAATAATTGCCAACAGAACGTAAATACCGAACCTACTATACGCCTAATTAATTATAGAATATAAAATTAATTTATACACGATAAAAACTATTTTTAATACACAGTACATGAAAGTCGATAATAAATGCGTCTTGGGATGTGGGGGTAGACGACCGCCGCGTTAACGAGCCTAGCCTGACGACGGGGTAGTTTAACAATGGGGAAGTGTATTCTACATAATATCCTACCCATATAATGTTGACAAATCATGATCCTCAAAATCTTCCACAATATCCGAGAGAGAACAGACTATTTAGCATTAGTGGAATACAAACATTTGAATACTACAGAACCCGGATGAAAAAAAAAATACGAAATCAATGACCCGCGAGACATTACAAAACTCAATGTTATAATAGCGAGCAAATGTATAATGCATTAAGCCTTGTAGGTGGAGGTAGACTATATATTCATGCGTACCTCCCAACTGCTCAGATATTTAAAAAAAAAAAAACTTATCAGCCTTACCTACACGGGAGCGACATGCTCACGGCGCCGCTGCTTCTTGACGACTGACGGGGTCGTCGTCGATACCCCGTAGCGACCAACCGATCCAGAGACTCCCTGCCTAAAATTATTTGAACGCCTTATTGAAATTCCTAGTGTATAGCGCCAGGAATGTGTAAATTAATATTTATATGCATTATAGGCCTTTCTAAAGTAATTTATAGATCTGAATATCATATATTGTCTAACAAACGAATTATTTAAGTTAAGATTTTAATTATGCCACATACAAGTCTCATCGAGGCACATAATCGGTTCAGGAATTGGCCGTTAAGTCTCATCGCACACAAGAAGATTCGTCAGCGGATTTTTTTTTATTTATATATAAAAAAAAAGTTTTTAAATTCTTGTAAAGCCACTAGCACGCATAGCGTTTCGGGCAGGTACTTAATCCGTGGTGTATATACAGTCTCCGTGGTGTAGTGGTAAGACACTCGCCTGGCGTTCCGCGAGCGCTATGTCATGGGTTCGTATCCTGGACCTATAATAATAATAATAATAATAATTTTTATTTAGGTAAGGTACATACATAAAGAGATTTTACAAAGTTTGTTGGCTTTATAGATAGAGCTTGTACATACAATGCCTAAAGCCACTATTACGCAAAGCGTTTCGGGCAGGAAAAACATTAATGACTAAAGCTTAAAACTAATGGGTAAAAAGAATAAGATGTGTTGAGTACAAATAAAAATAGAGGTAAAAGAGGGGGGAACATTGTTGAAAAAGCAGCACAAATACAATTACAAATTATTACAGAAAATTACATTCAAAGAGCGTTGATTTGAAAAACAAAAAAAACAAAAAACATACATGGGTTGACAACAGAGGGGTAAGGTGGGTTACAGGGGAATTTATTAGGTATAGCTTCGTTTTTAACTTAAACTGGTTGAGAGAGGTACAGTCTTTAACATGGTTGGGAAGGTCATTCCACATTCTGGGCCCCTTGATTTGTAGAGCATTTCTGGTTTGATTAAGTCGTACTCTAGGAATATCAAAACTGTATTTCTGGTGTGGTGCTCATGGGTTCTGTTACAACCTTCTATGAAGCTTTTGAGATCAGGATTGGCATTATAGTTTAGCGTTTTATATATGTATAATACACATGAGAGAATGTGCAGTGACTTAATGTCTAACATATTCAGAGATTTGAGTAGGGGTACCGAGGGGGTATCTTATGATAATGAGGTTTCAATGCTTGAAGTCAATAATCAAAGTGAGGCTTCACCACTGTAGCGAGTAAGCCTTATAAGTTACCTGAATACCTGAATTACCTGAATTATTACCTGAATAAACATATGTTTAGTCATTATTATGAAATTGAAATTCAAATAAGTTTATTGAGGTAAAATAAACACAAAGGGATGATGTAGCTCAAGCTATTCTCACCCCGTTCAGTACATCGTGTTAATACATACATATACACACATCACAAACAATAAACATATTACCAAACATTCTGAGAGATAAACTTGCACATTTCCTTTATTATTATGTATATAATAGCGGCGAGGGAGTGTGAGTGCGCAGGTCGGTGTTCACTTGTGGGGTGAGCGGCGGCGGCGGCGGCCCCGAGGCCTGGCCCCGGCCTCATGTGGTGAACGTGGCGCTGGACACTGACGGTCGTGAGTTGCTCCTCTTGATTCTCGGTTTTCTCAGTTCCTCACACCCGTAGTGAGTTGTGGGCGGCGTGGTGGGTGTCGTGGGCGGCGGGTGGGGCGTGTAGCGGGAAGGTATATTGGGGAATATGAGGGTTTTAGGCGAAATTTGTGTTTGTGGACTTGGGATTTGCAGGACACCATGTGGTGGTGTAGCTAGACGGCCCCGTCACTTCCCGCAAGACAATTTTGGCTTCTTAATGAGAGATTAGTAATGTTTTAATGCGTGCATTGTGAGTGTAAGCCTGGCTTACCGGGTGGTGTGGTGTGTAGGGAATTTAATGGAGCTGTAGGCAGGTCGCAGACCATTATTAAGTCAAAAGTCTAAACTATGCCGTCTGCACGCACTATAGCGACCCTAGGAGTTCATGTTTGTTATTAACACGGTGGGTTGTGGGCTTTAGGTTAGAAGTGTTTGTGTAATTGAAATGTATATGACATTTGGTTTCACGTAATTTTTAAAACTAGCATTGCCTAAAAAAAAATAAAAAATAAAAATATTGGGTTTCTAATGAGTTATTTATCTTGGTATTTGATCAATCTGTATACAGTACTTGGACAGGCCACAAATTGTACTTAGCATAACATTGATACTAGTATAAACACACTTGATTCACACTCCAAAGGTTGCTGGGGTTAGTCATTAGTCAGCGATCCATAGACATAGACTCAAAGCCTCATTAAATTACGAATCCAAAGGTGAGAATAATTTTACTTTGAAATATAATGAGACCAAAATTTGTGAGAATTCGTAAGAAAATTTGTATGAGCCTCGAGGAGTATTGTAACATGCTCTGGGTACTGCCAAGCATATGCCTGGGTGAGTACCCAGAGCATAGATTTAAAGCCTCCTCGTGGCTCCGACTGATTTTCTCATTGATCACATTGTAATTTCTTCGTGCACCAAAATTGGTGGAAGACGATGACCATAAGTGCGCCATCATCTGGTCTTATTTTGTTATAAAGTTGAGTAAAATTGCTTTTTCACATTCTACAAGTTAAGCAAATGTTATATTTCATCTTGTGTAATTTAAAGACTTTGGATGGCTTTGGGGTACTATGGATCCTTTACTTTTACAATTTAACCTCATTTCATATAGTATTTTGCTTTTTCATGTCCATTTCCAGTGCTGCAATATATATATTCAGCTTTATGCATCAGCCATATGTTAGACCAATTGACTAGTTTTTAGGTCATCTTGCACTCTGCTGCTGTAAGTGTTGTAGCATTGCTGTTTGGTTCTGGCAAACTTTTAGTGTGCTTCTAAAGTACATTTGTAATTTACTTTTATATAAAAAATAAGGCATAAGTCCTAACTGAACACTATCACTGCATCAAGCCATCTGTTTTCATGTGACAACTTTGTGATGCAGGGATAATAACATTAACTGAATTTTTTTAAATGTGCAAGATTTCAATATTGCCAAATAATTTTCATTTCATTTGTTCACAAAGCGTGAAAAACATTTCTCGTTAAAATGTAAAATTTAATATTTTTTTGCACCCTATTGAGCACCTTAAGGTGCTATTTGTACTGCAGGAATTGATGCATTTCCATCCAATGCTGAATTTTTTTGTGCCCAGTTTGCCAATTTTCCATTCACGAGTCTTTTATACCATGCACACTTATCTTGAAAACAAGTTTTCTATGGTGAACTTTGTTGAAAGTTCAACATTTTCGAAATTTTTGGTTGCCTAACGTATCTGCTAGCCTTTGTTGAAAGGCTAGCAGATACATTAAGCACTTTTTACAATGCTGGGAATTGTCGATCTTTTGTTAAAAGTGCACTGTTTTGAATGTTTCCACAAATTAAGTCTACTGACATTAAACTTATTGGTGGATAATTACACATCAGATTTGGCTCTTTTTTGTGTTACATTTGCACGGTTCCATTCTGGTAAAACTACTGTATTCCTGTTGTAAGGGTAAAAAATTTGTTTTGCAATTTGGCTTTTTACTTTAACACTGCAGTGTGGCTATTATCAAAATTGCTACCTCATGTCCAAAAAGAATATTTGTTCCTAAATACTAATGTTTGTACACAAGAAGCAAGGTGGCAAGGTCGGTGTCTGTTAGATGCAAGGTTTGCAGTGTGATACGGCTAAATGGATGTTAGTTTCTTTACTATTTTACACTGTTTAAACTCGTGAACAAATACACAAGGGCTTTGACGAGGATTCGAACCTGCGACAGAGCATCCCAGACGCTGCCTTAATCGACTGAGCCCTTGTGGATTTGTTCATTTGATGCATCACACTATTGTGATTTGTGTGTAATTGTATAAACTCCTTTGTACATATTGGCAGTACATTGTGATGTGTACTTTTTGCAAGGAACCTTATGAGCACAACCTTAAAAGAATGTCTGATCCACTCATTTGCTGTGATATGGCTAAAAATGTCATTCAGGCATGGAATCAAATTCCAGCAGTAAACAGCAAAGATAAACAGTCCCCCTAGTACTTGATAACTTTACTTACATAGCAGTTACAAAGCTGCAGCAGAATTTTTCATGTCACAGTAAACATTAGCATTATAGCTATCATAACTATGATTTGTGTAAAAACTGGGCAACTACTAGCTATGTGACCAAAACTACAGCAGCAATGGACAAATCATAGTTAAAGCACTTAGGGATAGTAAATACTGTACAAAAATATGGTAAGTAAAAATCTTATTAAAACCTGCTATATCTGCTTCATAATTTATTAGTCTGGCTTTTATAATTTTAACCCTTACAATGTCTGGAAAAATGGTTTGTAAAAAAAAAAACGAAATGCATGCAAAATATCAGAAAAATTGGTAAAATAAATCTCATTTCACTGGGTGGAGGTGCTCTGCAAGGCTGCAATCACTTGTCAACCTTTGCTGCTCGATTTTGCTGATGCTTCCCGTTTTATCTTTCACTGGTTTTCATTCTTTATTTACATCCATTGAGCTATTATAGCCTTATTTGCATCATACATGTAAAACCCAAATAATAGTTTATATTAAAATTAATTAAAAAAAATAAAATTGGTAATGACAAAAATTGCATTACCCTGTGAATGTACATACTGTACAATATTATGACTGCTACCTAAGGATTATGGTTGAATGGTGTAGGGTTCTGAGGCTAGTTATTAATAATTAGTAGGAATTTAAAGTACAAAAATCATTGCACAAATGTTTGGATAAGGCAAATAGGCTACTGGGATTTTTTTCTGTTGGCAACAAAACACTTCATATTATTCCCGAATTAACTTTCTCTTCTTGGGTCTCATTTCGATTATGCAGTTCAGTTGTCACCATGCCATAATGTACATACATAAACAGTATAGAATGTACATGTATAAACTTGAACACTTTCAGTGAATTATGAGTGTTATCCCAGAAATTAGCAGCCTTCCACATGAGACGTTTTAGATTGTTACTCTGAACAAAAAGTTCCAAGCAGCACGTGCTATGATGAACCCATCATACTCACCTGGCACAGGAGACTGAGAACACTTAATTTATTTTCTTTAGAAAGGCAAAGCCTCGAGTGACACGATTGAAGTGTACAAGTGGAGGAATGTATAGAACAAGGGTGATAGTAATAAGGTATTAGATATATCAGCACAATAAAACATGAAATAATTTATATAAATTGGAAAAGTATATTTAGGTCAGACCTGTGTAAATACAGGTTACAAAGATTGTAAATTTGTCGAACAAATTACTGGGTAACATAAGATACAGGATCACTTCATTGTTTTAAGTGCAGGCTATTCATATACATGAGTTGAGTTTGGATGGATATAAATGGGAGCTGTCTCACGTTAAAATTTCTAGCCTGGTGCCCCTCAATGTAAGTAATACTGTTAAATATATGCACAGTTGAGGGATTTAATACTGTTGTACACAGATATCACAATAGCGTGATACATCAAATGAACAAATATGGGGGAATTGCGTAAAATCCTGGTTTGTCTCGGAGAGGCTGCAGGATCCAAGTAAATTCGGTAGAATTTCTGATTGCCATTCTTATACCATGTTGTATAAGCTCAGTCGATTAAGGCAGCGTCTGGGATGCCCTCGGACGCAGGTTCGAATCCTCGTTACGGCCCTTGTGGATTTGTTCATTTAATATTGTTATACAATACCGCATGGCATGTAGCGGTACGAAGTTACTGAAAACCCATCAGACTTGTCGGTGGATAACTAAATTTTTTTTTATTTTATTCTCCCAAAATATCAAGTATAAAATACGGTAGTTACAAATTACGTTAGTTTAAACAGTATATAGTATGCATTGTTTTAGTTAATATTTTCTTTTTTCTTTTCAGGAGGACATCCTATAGTTCAGCATGTCTGACGTGGAAGGGTAAGTTAATAACTTGTTAATCATGTTAAAATGGTACTTTTTTGAATAAGCGAAGAAAAGCTTGAAGCAAATTTGAGTAGGAAAGAAATTTGTAACCTAATTGCCATTTCTGTTACCTAAATTCATTGCAATATGGCAATCTCTGTACGTTCTCAATATTAATGTTAAAATTTCTGTATCAGATCTTCAGTTTATGTCCTAACAAATGATTCATTTAATTATTTCCTCACACCCAAACAATTATTTATGCTAATGCCTTGCTAATGTTACATCTGAAGTTCAGTGAAGTGATAGTTACCCACTTACCTGACCAGACTGGATTTTTTTTTTTAGCTTCAACCCTGCAACTGTGCATCAGTCGGGGTTGTTTTAAGTATAAATCATAACTCCCACACAAGGGGGGGCTCATCTGCATCCTTGGGCCTCCAGTAACCATTCCCCATCTTGAAAAAAAATACCAAGTCTCACTTTCATTCTAAGGCCTTAGTAAACAGATGATCATGTCTGGCACATCACCATCCAGTGTTTGATTGGTCAGGGAGACCATACTAGGAGCCATTGAACTTTTTTTCTTTCTCAAATTATATATAATGTACACCATTTACACATCAATGCAATTAGTCAGCATGAAAAAACTAAATATAGAAACAAAGAAAATAAACATAAAAAAAATACAGCTAAACCTCAAGAGATAGACTTCAGTTTTTATGCTTCCAGGATGCCAATTAATATGCTTATCAATCCCCCCCGCCTTCCCACCCGCATTGCAGAATTGGTACATTTATCAGGTGTGCAGGGGTTAAAAACCCTGAGCTGGTTAAAAATGTTTGCTTTAATATGGACCAACTTAGTTTTCTATTTAAATTTAAAATGGCATAATTTTATCTATTATAAGATACAAATATTCAGCCTTCCCCAACCTTGTATAATGGGCCTCGTAGCCTGGTGGCTAGCGCGCAGGACTCATAATTCTGTGGCGCGGGTTCGAATCCCGCACGAGGCAGAAACAAATGGGCAAAGTTTTTCACCCTGAATGACCCCGTTACCTAGCAGTAAATAGGTACCTGGGAGTTAGTCAGCTGTCACGGGCTGCTTCCTGGGGGTGGAGGCCTGGTCTAGGACCGGGCCGCAGGGACACTAAAGCCCCGAAATCATCTCAAGATAACCTCAAGATAAGATAACCTGGATGGGTTGAGTTTAAAAAGTTTTTTACAAACCTGAATAGAAACCAGAATTCATAGTCATCTTGTGTGTGGGATTTAAATCAGGGCTAAGATAGTATAAAGTGTGTAGTTTTATTCAGATTGTTTATGGTTTACTGGATTTTTTCGCACTCTTCCCCACTCTTAATTTGTTTGAATTTTATTTATTTTCAGAGACGTTAGTGTTCCCGTGGCGGTGGGTGGCCCCATGGACTTGAACACCGCAGTCCAGGAAGTGCTTAAGCAGGCTCTTATGGCTGAAGGTCTTGCTCGTGGTCTTCATGAAGCTGTGAAGGCTCTTGATAAGTAAGCACACAATAATTTAACATTAATGAAAATGAACATGATAGTGTATGAAACTTTTAATAACCACTTCCTGCATAAAATGCGTCTTGTCATAGAGTAGCATGAGTCACTTGTTGGTTCATGTTGCTCAAAGATGATCTGGACTGTGCAAGGGAAGGAGAACAATTTTCATCCATACATGCTCCCTCAGGACCTCTTTCTTAATGTCTAATTGGGGTTGAGCTAATAAATGGATGGTACAGTCACCAATGTGTTATATCATGTTATATCATTGGTGTCAATAACCAATGTGTTATGAGCTAATAAATGGATGGTACAGTCACCAATGTGTTATATACTGATTATTAATAAATACTTGTATGGAGGAAAAAATATTAATTTAATGCTTTCAACAGACGCAAGGCACTTTTGTGCTTATTAGCCAACAATTGTGATGAACCTGGGTACTCTAAACTTGTTGAGGCCCTCTGTCAAGAACATCAGATAAAACTCTTGAAAGTTGATTCTAACAAGATGTTGGGCGAGTGGGCTGGTCTCTGCAAGATTGACCGTGAAGGGAAGGCTCGCAAGGTCGTTGGATGCTCATGTCTTGTTGTTACTGTAAGTACTGTATTAATAATTGTATGCCAAAATTCTTGCTCATCTTGAACTATAAAATTTCTTCAAATTATTTCCAACCCTTACAGTTCAGTTTCAAAATTTGATTGCACAATTTAAGAAAAAATTGGAAAATGGTCTTTCTTTGCAAATGAACTAGAGTAGGAAATATTAAAGCTGCATTCCCTCTGATACAGGCTTCATATATAAAGCCCTGAAATTCTATAGGGTTGTCCTTTAATTTTAAGTTTGTTTATTTAATGAAAAAATACAAAAATGGCGAGGCATTTATGATTAATGTTTAGTTTTAGCGTATTTATTTTTTCACTGGTACTGCATTGCCTCCACCTGCATTATTAGACCTTAGCTTTATTATTTTAATTCCACCAATGAAAGTAAAAGGAATTTTCTTGTTAATTCTTAATTTTGACTTATGTTCACTGAATTTTATTAGTCTTGTGTTAAAAGACCAATTAATTTAATTGTCTTGGGACAAATATTTCTTTTCCTTTGATATTAGGACTGGGTACAAAAGTCTTGGCGATTGTGTGAAAAGCTAGATCACTTAATCACCGACAGGAAAAGTTCTCAGATTGGAATTTGTTAAAGTGCAATGATGTATTGGTCTGTCAGTGTTTGTATCACAGAACATGCAGAACTTGCAAACAGATATACTTGTCACTAATATGTGCACTATTATATTCTTTGAACAGTAAACCATAGTTTTTGCTTTATTACACTGTTACTTGCATGTTGATACTGAATGACATTTTCCCTTTATAAGTGGTATAAGTGATAAGTCAAGCTGATGTAAGGCATTTTCATAGGGTAACTGCATTCTTTCTTTCCAGAATGTCTGTAAATACCTTTGCATGGTGTCACTTTTGTCATCTGTACTAAGTGTAAATGATTGCTAAAGTTTTTCAGACTGCGCTATTGTTTGCATCAACCAGTCTAGAACTTGTGAAAATTTAATTTGTGGGCAATGGCATGATTCGCACATAATCTATCATAAATACTCTTAATCGATACTCTAGAGGATTCACCAAATTTATAGTTATAACCCTACAAATAACTTAAAAAATGCAAAGTAAATATTTTGTCGCCATGTGGGGCCTTGAGGAGTTCAGAATGTTTACTGTCCAGAACGAGAAGGGCCGAACCACAAAAGTGGTGGTTACTTCTTTCCGGCTTATTGTAATGTCTGGGCTGGTCAAGCATTGTACTGTTATATTTTGCCCGGGTGCTCTGTTAAACTCCTCTCCGCTGTTTGAATGTTTTAAATCTTCCCTTCTGTTCTTGTACTATTATTTCAGCTTCTGCACCATTGTTTTATATCCATTCTGCCTGTAGAGTTGCTAGGCTATTAAAGCCATTACTCTGTCTTTAGACAGAATAATGTTATCCAGATGATATGCTTCAGGCATGCAAATCTGTCCTGCATATCAAAAAAAAAGGTGGTGACCTTCTTGCAATCCTTTATTATTTTTCACTTTTGGACAAGAACTGTGAAATTCACTTGTATATACATGTAATTGTTTGTTCAGAGCTCTTAAGAACATGTTTTCCAGGACTATGGTAAGGAGACCCAGGCTCATGATGTTGTCAATGAATATTTCAAGAGCAAGGGGCAGTAAGGAATTATATTCATGTAAGTATACTGCTATGTACTAAGTTATTAAAATACATAATGATGATACTCTTGATACAGAATTCCCGTGTTGGTATCTAAAGCTGATTTAATGAGTCTGAATTTGTTAGTTTTTCTTCATAATGTGTGTATAATTGTAGTAGTTTTAATTACACAATATTTTTTTTTTACCAGCAGATACAGCCATGGAGTACAACAGTGAATCGGAGCTGCAAGATTCTGCTTTGCATTTTCAAGGGGCTGCCGATTTCCACGTTTAAAAAAAATAAAATTAACAAAAAAAGTGAACACGTTTTTTCATTGGCTCATATGTTGACATTTATTATTCTGTAAAATTAGTCATATTATGCATAAGTAGAATGTGAAAATTCATTACTTTCAATCTGTCAAGCTGCTTTTACTTAAAACGCAGTGGCTAGCACGAACAAGCTATGAGACCTTGCCAGAAGGTTAAATATCAGAGCTGGTGTTACATATGATCTAACCTAGACACCTAACCTACAAATCTTAAAAGATACTATTTTATCGGTTATAGTCAGGCAATAGTAGATATAAACTACATGAGCAGTGGAATATTCATAAGTACGGTGCCTAAAGTTACAAAACTGCATTTCAGGCAATTATTTTTGTTTTCCCCTTTGCTGATCTCTTGAAAGCTTCCATTCTAGTTCACCTTTAACTATTTTTTCTAGTCATTTAGACAGTATGAAGATGCTCACAGGGTAGTGTCCTTTATAGATGTGTGGCTCCTCTTGCATCATCGATGGAATTACTCTTCTCACTGCGTAACGGCAGAACTTTGCTATTTTTGTGCTGTTCAGCTGCTTTATCAATCTACCTTTCATTTTCGCAGTGCCCTCACGGCTCTTAGTCCTGTAACCCGGTCCATCCTGTGGTGAAATTCAACATTGCAGATTCTAGCAGATTTAGGAAGAATTTTGCTGGGTTCCCAGCCATATTGGTGTCCTTAAATGAGTGCGGACGCTGCCCTAAGGAGGCTATTCGCACTTATCCCATCTGTAAAGGTGTTCTTTATTCCGGCATCTACTAATACTCATTCCTCAATCCTTACCAATTTGCAGAATCGTTGGTCTGTTACTGGTAACAAACTGCGTGTTCTTAGGGTAGCATGTATGGTCAATTCTTACCAATTGACCATACACGTTTTAACTCTTGGGCATTTAATAAGGGCGGCACCCCATTTTCTCTTAGTTGTGCATATCCTTGTTGAATGTCCAGACTTGCTTTCCCACCGTCCCTCACGGTCACTAGAATTCTTGGTGAATCTGATACCTTTGATACCGCTCGCCTTTTACGTTTTTCTCTTATTGGCATCCTTAGTGATAACGCCTTTTCAATATCTCATTTGATGGGGCTATATAGCCTTCCAGGCTTGGTGCCTTCTTTTGATAGTTTCTTGCTGTAAAATCCAACTGGAAGATATCGTTTTAAATAACTTTTTTATTCTGAAATATGTAAATTAGTTAAACAGGCGGTTGGTCATATTTTGCCCAAATTAACCTGTAGTTTTCAAAATACGATGAATATTGAAAATGACGAGCGGAATTCAGGCTGATTGCACGAATTTGTAGTTTATAAACTACTTTTTATCCCGAAAATATGTAAATTGGTGAAAACTGCGGTTGGTCAGATTTTGCTCAAATTGTCCTAGTTTCCAAAATAAGAGATCTTTCGGAAAAATGACGAGCGTTATTTTTTTAGCGGAATTCTTGGTGATTGCACATATTGGGAATTGTAAATTACGAGTTTGTTTTACCGAAAATATACAAATTAGTGAAAACTGAAAGGTCATAAGTGCAAATGAGGATATATTTGACACGCCCCCGACTTCCTGTCCTCGTCGAGGTCACAAATGTGTTGGTGGCCCTATCTTGAAATGGTTTTGGGGCTTAGCGTCCCAGCGGCCCAGTCCTTGACCAGGCCTCCTTTTTGTTACACATTCCCAGAAAGCCCGTAGCCGCCGGGTTAACTCCCAGGTGCATATTGTAAATGTGTGGCCACGTTTGTGGTAAAAAATAATAATAAAAAAAAAAAAAGTGCATATTTACTGCTAGGTGAACAGGAGCATCAGGGTGAAAGAAACTGCCCATGTGTTTCCTCCACCGGGGATCGAACCTGAACCTTAGGACTACGAATCCTGAGAGTTGTCCACTCAAAAAAAAAAATGAAATAAGCAGGCAACCAAAGAAAGCGTAAAGTTTTTAACTACAGCAACCAAAGCGACTATCCGACGCCATCACAACAACAGTCATCGCCCACCGCCGGCCTTCAGATTTTCTCTGCATCACCACTAGTGCAGGCACCTGGAGGGAAACCTTTCACGCAAACTGCACGTATCATACAGAGGAAGGAATACATCTAATTCTCACCGCCAAGCATCAAGTCTAATTCTAATTAAACTATTTAGGCCTTTCCTAACCATAAATATTGGCGTCAGTGACTGTCTCCCAACATCATCACTCGTGGAGTAATCGCGAGGAAAAACCCTAATGCAAAATACACGCATGATAGACATGAATAGATCCCAAGAAACTTGTTACTTTTGCCCCTAAACAACAACAGTATTAGCAACACAAAAGAGTCTTGCCTAACCATTGACATTGACCTGTGAGCCTACAATACCACTTGTGCACCCATTGGAGGGAGGACATCTACACACACACACACACACTAATCTTAAAAGATATGATGGTGGCATTGAGCCTGAGAGGATGTGCGAGGCAGGTGAGGGCCCTGCAGGGAAGGCTAGTCAGGAGTGAGGCCCAGTGGGGGGGCCTCGTCAGCAACATGGCACCACTAGCGGCGACTGTAATGGTGCCACGGAGGCGGTTGGTCACTTCCCTACACTGTGAGTTCTACCAGATAAAACTGGGGGTTGCTTTTTCTATATTAAATATCTGCCAAACAAAACGTAACAGTATTAGTAATATTTTTGTAGCTTCTAAATTTCTTCGTTTAAATAATAGAACCTTTTGTAGGTACTGTAGTAAGTGATGCCTTGTACTCATTTATTTAGTAAAACTATTGCAGTGCAACTAGAGACATAGTAACTGTAACATGCCAGAGCGAGAGTTGTTAGTTTAGAAGTGACGATGATCCTTGGCATACTGAAAAGTATTAGAAACTGCAACCACGTTTTTATTTTAAATAAAATATAGTGGAAACATAGCATAAATGGAGTTGAGTTTTAGTGGGAAAGCTGTTGTAAGTGAAGTGCCCCAGGTCTGTTCTGTCCTCTTCACATGTACAGTATATATATGATTAAGATAAAGGACTGAACAGCATTATTTCTAATTTGCAAATACTGCAAAAATAAGGTTGGAAATAAATTCAGAAGACTTAAATTTGTGAAGGAGCATCTTTACAACTGCTCTCTACTTCCGATCCTCCAACTTGGGATGATGCCTTTCTGTCCCAAACATTGGGCATAGAATATGCCTCTGCCACGGTGCCTTCATGGTTGGCTTCTGGGACCAGGGAGGGAGCCCATGGAGGGTCCTTGGGTGCCCTACAACCCTTCTTGGACATTAGCTCCTTTTGGGGAGGGTTGTGATAATCCCCTGTGTTTGGGGAGGTTCAAGTTGATTATGATAATGATTGACTTGATAATGGTCCAGGATGCACTGAAACGTTGTCACCTCATCTGGTGTGTGTGTGGTTTGGTTATCATATCTTCAGCTACGTTATTGTGACTCGTCGTCTGCATTTGTTTACATTATTTGGGGGGTTCTATGGCATTCTTGAGACTGCAGGTCTCAGATGCAGCCAGCAGTGATTTACTGTACAGTATTTGACTCGCTGATCTGCTGCCTCAGTGATTGCATAAATTAATAACTTAATATATAAATGCCATGGATCTCTGCATCTCTGTGAGGGGGGGGGGTCCAGGTCCTAGCACTGGGTCCCCAGTGGGGGTGTATAACTCCGATTTAGTTGTCATGACTGATGGCACCTACATTGGCGATAATAGTTTTAGGGAGCTAACAAGGTTTACCCAGAAATTGACTTTTCATTACATTCAATAGTTTTTTTCACACTAAAACAAGTTAACTATACAGCCTTTATTAATGCCATACTTTCATCTCCAGCTTCCCAAGGTCTCACAGAAGAGCAGACAGCTATCCAGCAGATGGCAGCAAATTTTGCTAGAAATGAAATGCTGCCTAACATGGCAATGTGGGATGAAAAGGTCAGGAAGCTGTGCATTGTAATTACTGATATTGCATAATGTATTTTGGTTATAATTCTAAATTATTTAATTGCTATTTATTTTTAGGGCTTGAGTGCCTTATAAAATTATTTTTTATGGGAGGGTTCCTCACCAGGCCCTTTGAATCATATATGCTTATTGGGGACCTTTACCATAATCTTGGCCCTTCAGTAGAGCTAAGACGGGTCAAAATAGATGGGAAGAGCATCTGAGGGTCAAAATAAAAAAATCTACAAGATTTATTATCTATGCACAAGACAAGCTTATATTTTGTATAACATAATACTGTATAAATTTCAATTATCTTTTACTGATTTTGTGTGCGTATTCTGCATTAATGTCAGATTTTCTGCACAAACACTGTTTTAATATATACTGGTAGTTTAAAACTTAATCTCATTTTAAATTTTATTTTGTGTTTTAACAGGAGATGTTTCCAGTAGACACAATGCGAGCAGCTGCTGCCCTTGGGTTTGGGGCTATATATGCCAGTGAGGAGTTTGGTGGTACAGGACTGAGTCGTCTCGATGCCTCTATTATATTTGAAGCTCTCTCACAGGGATGTACCTCCACCACAGCATACATCAGTATTCACAAGTAGGGTAACATGAAAAGTGAACTAGAGTATATAATTAGTTTTGTCAGGGACAAGCAGCCTGTTTATATATATATTTGATAATAATTATTATAATTTTTCATTGTGTCGGGTGACAGGCAGCCAGTGTCATACACGGTAGGCTTATATTGAGGTCGTCCCCCACCCAGGTCGAATTACTGACCCTGCCCAGGATGCAACCCCACAACAAGCTGACTAATTCCTGAGTACCTACTTACTGCTAGGTGAACAGACTCATTACGTGAAAGGAAATGCACCCAACTATTTGTCCCGCCCGGGATTCGAACTCAGAGTTATAATTTTCCCAACTATTCCCACTGTGAATAGTTGCCCAGTAATCTTCTGAGTACTGTACTGTATTCCCATTGTAAAGTATAAAAATACTGTTCAGAATGTACCACCTACCTTCTGGCTTTTACCATGGTAGTTTGTAAGTCATCAGTAAAGCTGACTCAATTTGGTGTTTCTCTACATTGTCAACACTTTGTTCTGTCTTAAACCTTATTCATTGATGATTTTTAAGTATGCTTAAGGGAATAAGAAAGCTCTTCATACTTTTATGTACATTAAATTTTGGTTTTAATAATTATTATTTATAACATACTGTACCAGAAATCTTATACTTTCAGCATGTGTGCATGGATGATTGATGAATTTGGAAATAAATCTCAGCGAGAGCACTGGATACCTCGGCTAGCTTCAATGGAAAAGTTTGCTTCATATTGTCTAACAGAACCCGGTGCAGGTTCCGATGCCGGCTCCCTCTCAACAGCTGCAAGAAGAGATGGAGAAGACCTTGTTCTTAATGGTTCGAAGGTGAGGCTGGCATATACTAAATTGTCAGCAAATGTATTTTTCTTTTCACTTTAGGCTTTTGTTTCTTTTATGAAATCTCAAAATGTTAGATGAAATGTGCAGTAATATTGCACTATCACACAATGATGTTCTTTGTCCATAATATCTCTTATAAAATCATTAATGTAAAATTTAAAAAATTATATTAAAGAGTTTTATCTATTGCATTGTCGGCAATATTTCTGGTAGGGGGCCTCCCTTTGTTATCTCGCCGAGCTGCACACTGGTACACCTGTCAAACCTCCAGTATCATACCAGGCTCTAAAAATTTATGAGTACCTACCAGAGACCAGTACCAGAATATGGGCCACCTAAAAGAGGGAGAGGAAAGTCTGGGGAGGTAGGGGTTGCGTCTAAGACCACAACAATAACCAAGAGAAAAGTCTACCTGAAAGGTAAAATGTACCGAAACAAACAACTAATTGGATCATATTTGCAACATCAATCCTAACCTATGTAAACAATTATTAATTGAACCACAATATTTGCTTGTAGCATATTTGGAATTGACCAAGTCCACTTTCAGACTTCATCCTAGATATCTCAGGCCAGGAGTGGATTCATTAATTAATTCTTGTTGTAACTACTGCATTTTTTTCACAAATATTGTTGCAAATAGTGACATATTCCATCTTCTTCAGCCCAAAGGCTGTCAAATGAATGTCATGTTCAATACTAGTGTTTCACTGACTTTGGAGGTGTTGCCACCCCATGCAACAGACACCCATGTCTGTCAGTGATTCAGTCATTCATGAGTGAGAGGAAGATTTGACTTGTGTGACTGGATTGCCTTGTCACACTCAGCTATTTCATGAGGTATCCCAGAAGGAAGACCTCATAGTTTTCACTTTTTATTTTAATCCAAATTTAGAGTTTACAAAATATCCATAGAATGCATTCTTGAATCTTTCAACATGCATGTTGTTGTAAGTGTACTTCATGCACATGTTATATTATGGTTTTAGTATTTCACATAGCCTCAATATGTATTTCATATGCCACGTGGTTTGACTCTGGTGATACATAACCGTAACTCTGGCAGGGGGTGACAAAATCCAATATGAAGGCTAACATTCACCACTACGAGTTATCAGAGCACTACTTAGCAATCATTTTTCATCTTGCGAGTGCTGGGGGGGGATGTTTTGAGTCCTTAAGAATGTTTTGTATGGGGAGTTCTCGGTGCTAGATTGAATGTTCTCCAGTGCTTCCTAGTACCAATAAGATGCTGTAGAGATTTGTTGAAACTGACCCTGCATTGTTGGTGCAGTGTGTAGCTCTGTCTTGACTTTGTCCTGTCCATAGGAAGCAATGAAAGGTAATGCACAAAGCTTATTTTATTATTTTTTAAATTGAACACCAATAAGCTTAATGTTGCAACTGAATGAAGATGTTCTTTCATGATAGGCATTCATTAGTGGCGGAGGTGATGCAGACGTTTACCTGGTGATGTGCCGCACAGGAAGTGAGGGGCCCAAAGGAATCTCGTGTGTGCTTGTGGAAAAGGGAACACCAGGTAAAGTTTGCTTGCTTTTATTACTATATTGACACTTTATAAAATGCTCATCACCACTGCCATTGCCTTAAATGTCATTTTTATCATCATTATCAATCATTACTATTATACATCAGCATCAATATCAATCAATATCATCATTAACCCTTTGCAGATGTTATTTTCCATATCTAACTACCCCAGTAGGATTGAGTTTTTTAGATATACTGTACTGTATTGGAAAAATTACTATTTAATATAAGGAAGGGCCACTTTCTGGTGGGCCCCTTTGCAGCTTCTTTAGATACATGCCTAGCTATCCGACATACAGTACTTAAGAACTGCACCAGGATCCATTGCTTCACGAGCATCTGTCGGGGACCTGGACCAGGTCTGTGGCAGTTATTAACTGAGCTGAAGTATTTGTCTGTCACTTGTGCTCCCTGCCAGGTGGTAACACACTTAGAACACCAAACCCTCCAAGCCTCAATATTAGCCCTCAAAGAGCAGATATATATCAAAATTGTCACCACACCTATATACCAATTTTTTTTTATGTAATGAAACCTTTCTGGGTGAGCTTCAGTGGCTTCCTGAAGCTGTCTTGTTGAGATTACTCCCATCTACTAGGTCTCAGCAGTCGCAGAGTTCTGTTTGGCCTACTGCAGACCAAAGTCAGGACCTGGTCCCCTCATTAGGCTCAGAGAGTGAGTGACATTCTGTCACCCCAGAATGCTTTATTGACTTTCTGGATAGTTTCCTGGTGAGGTGGCCAGAAAACTGGTTCTTTCACAGTTTACAGGGTTAAAATTCCTGGTGAGCTGGTAGTAGTCCCAACTGGTTCTGTTCCAGGTTCGACCTTTGCTGGGCCTCATGAGAGATTCTTGGTCAGTTTCACTTTCCCTTCCTCTGGCGACTTTCCTTTGGCAGCAGCACCACTGTCTGCTGGTGTTGAGGCAGCCCCAGGTGATTCAATGGTTTCTTGACAGGTTGTGCAGGAGCCTGAACTTTGCATGCATGGTTTTCCTGCTGGGCAGAGTGTGACTAGAGGGTTGTTCTGGTATCTCCAGTTCTGCTCCTTTCACCGTCATTGCAACTGCTGGGTGCCAGCTACATCATTGCCGGCCACCTCTTCGGGCTTTTTGGGATTCAATTCCGTCGCCTGCCTACGCCCCCTCTCACTTGATGTCTTTACGGGCACCTTGGCTCTGGGCTGGGGGTTTAATGACCACGCTCTCCAAACCGCTCAGGGTCGTTGCTTGCTCTAAGTAAGATTCGGATTCCTCTGGGCTCCATGCACCAGCTTTATTTGAGTTGTTCTCCTGTGGTTCATTGTCTGGATGACTGTCGATAATGGTCATTCTCAGTTCATGGCCGTTGGTTTCTTTTTGTCTTGTTCCCTGCAGTGCTTCCTCCTCCCTAGTGATTGTCGTTTCTTCTTTCTCTGTGGGTAGTTAGCTTCAGAGAGCCTCAGAAAAGCAGCATTGAATGTAATGAAACGCTAATTTCTGGGTGAGCCCCGGAGGCTCCCTGACATCCTTCCTTCCCCAGTGGGCCGGGATGGTTTCCATCATCATAAAAATCTATGATGGAGGCAACCGGCTGGCCCGGCCTGCCTCCCTCTTCACCCCAAATGAAACGGGGAGGTGGTGTGTTCTAGTGCACACTAGTTTCACAAATTTTCAATAGTTTGTGTATGTTGTTGGGGGAGTTCTTTTTGGCAGTTTTGAGACTGCGGTCTCGTTCTAACCATGCAGTGGTCTGTTTTGTTTTGCTGATTTTCTGGGTGCTCTCCCTGGCGCTGGCAGACGTGAATACCTTTAAATGTACGGTGTTCATAGTGCTGCCACTCTCTGAGCCTCTCTAGATGGGGGCCAGGTTGTGGCTCGTGGTCCCCGATGGGCCAATAAGAACTCGGCGACTGATGGCACTGAATCAGTGTAATCGCTTTAGGGAGCCTCATGGGGCTACCCCCAGAAAAGTAATGAGTAATGTAAAGTACAATGTAATATTTACATCTGCATGTAAATTTGTTCCTGACACAGCTCAAATCCAATCCTTTGCTACTTTTCTGTCTGGTAATGGCGTCCAGAAATAAATTCAGACACTGGTGGGAAAAAACAAATTGTAATTTCATAAAAGTCAAAGGCTACTGGTACATGATTACCTTATTGTACAGTAAGCAATTAAGAATTTTAACTTTGTTAACACCTTTACACACATACAGATGTATGTGAGTGTGTGGAAATGGTGAGTGTGTGTGAGAGGAAGCATGGAGCAAGTGTGAGTCATGCATTGAATACAGCATATAATGGACAAAGCTGGGTGGAAGCAGTTTATAAAGAGGGCATGAATGCAATTGAGTATATTGTACAATATGCAAAAAGTCATCTGAGATGTGGGGCTGTTTTATTTGGTATAATTTGTAACTTTTACTTTAAATGATGGAAACGTTGTGTTCTTAGCAGCTCTAAAGAATGCCACAATAATTAAGTGTTTGAATTAAAATTTATAATAATAACATTAATGAAACAGTAATACAGTATGGAAATTTAATATTTGCAGGCCTCAGCTTTGGCAAAAAGGAAAAAAAAGTTGGGTGGAATTCACAGCCAACGCGGATGGTGATCTTAGAGGATTGTCGTGTGCCAGTTGCAAATATTATTGGGAATGAAGGCCAGGGTTTCAACATAGCCATGAAGGGCCTTAATGGAGGCCGCATCAATATAGGTAAGTTATTCTTGTGTGATTCGATAACGATCTTTATGAGTTTAAGAAATGGATTTTAAAAAAGAAAGATTTTAAATATATGATGATGTTCTACAAGATAAAATAAAATGTAGATTTATTTATTCCACATTAGTTTTGCTATACAGTACTGTATATATTTTGATTAGAGAGAGACAGATAATGCAACCCGTTCTCGCAAATTTAATAAGTCAATATTGACTTATTAAATATGTGCATAGGTGACATACTTAACATAATAGTTTCCCTTGAAAAGCTTCATAGAAAACACCGACCTTACCTAACCTACTTAGTAGGTTTAGATAAGCATCTTATTGCTTCGTAATTACAATTATTACCTAACCTATACCTATAATAGGTTAAGTAACAATTGTAATTACGAAGCTATAAGATGCTTATTTTAACATACTAAGTAGGTTAGGTAAGGTCGGTGTTTTCTATGAAGCTTTTCAAGGGAAACTATTATGTTTAGTATGTCACCTATGCACGCAACTAATAAGTCAATATTGACTTATTAAATTTGCGAGAACGGGTTGCATAATGTGGGTTGATCCCTCCATGTCTTATACTTTTCTGTATTTTTATATTCAATTTACCTGTTCAGATATAAGTATTTTACCATTTTATTAAAGAAAATAAGAATATATATATATAAATAATTTGCTGGTGATAAGTTGCTTAATTATGACTTTCATGAACTTATTTGTTTTTGCAATTATTGTTTATGTAGTAAAACAATATTAAATGATGTTTCTCTCCATTTTACTTGTTTTTTCATAAACATTAATAAATATCAAGTACTTGTGACTTCATTAATTATACACCCAGACCAGTTTGCAACTCTATTTCCTGATACAGTACTGCCAAGCCTTAACCAATCACATGAGGCCTCTGAGACCCACCCTTGGCTACTGAGAGCCAGGTAGGCAAGGAATTTGAGAATCAGTAAGAACAGGTGCTACTGCTTGAAGGACATTAGGACGAAGGACTCGCGGTAAACAAGTTAAACGATCATTGGTGTGGAAATAAACACACTGTGATACACCTAACTGCCACCAGATGGCAGCCCAGGTCACCCTGGGTCTGGGCCAGCCTGCCACCTCATTCACTGAGGTGGCAGGCTGGTGTTATTAGCTGCACATCTCTCTGACTGGGCCAATTACCTGCTTCATGCTTTCAGTGTTGGTGCTGGCTGCCTTCCCCAACAATGGGGAACCATTTAAATCTTAGTTTCTGCAGAGGTCAGTCCTTTGTTATTGTTCATTTATATGTATCTCATATAGGCCACCAACTTTGCCTGTGCCTAAACTTCATATTACAGTCTAGTTGGGGACATGGTTATTTTCCCTGGGGTCAGATTGAGTTTCTTCTAAAATCATCTTACTTCTTGGATATTGGATGTAACTTTTTCCCCAATGCAGGGCTTGTTGACGGGAAGAAACAGACATTTGACAGTGTCCTTGTATACCCATCATACCTGGTCCTGATCCTAGTGCATATTGAGCCGTCATGCTTTAGCCGAGGGTGCATGCATGCATAATTCTTATCTGTGGTTGCATATGCCCTCTTTCTTTGAGGGTTACAGGTAGAACTTCATTGTTTGTTTAGCGGAGATGCTTGCCTAGTGCCTGGCATGCCTGTGTCAGATGAGTAGCAATTGTTCCCCCATCTGAGGACCAACCAGGCTGTAGTGGATAATATGTGGGCTTGCGGGCTGCTCCAAATAACAGCCTGTTGGACCAAGTTATCACAAGTCGTGGAGTAGAAGAACTCCCAGAACCCTCTCCAGGTATCCCTGTTGGGTTTCTATCATGTAAATCTTGTCAGCCAGGTTACAACTTTGCCTTCTGATTCTGTACCTGATAATGCAGTCTAGAGTTTTTCAGGGTGTGATTTTATTTTTTAGACTCCACTGGCCATTCCTGTTGCCTTCATCTTGCAATCTGTTAGGTTTAGGGGTCCTGTTCACCCTTGGGTGTCTTGTCGATTGTCAGTACTGAGCTTCTGTCTTAACAAAGTTGCCTTCTTAGGCCCATTAATCTGCAACTGCTTTATATGACTTGGTTTGATAGTATAGGATCTTGCATCCTGTCATGGATACCTTTGCAAAGCTTCTGCTGGATTTTTTTGCCACTTCCAATTCAACGGCTTCTGTTCTTCTGGTGGATAACCAATTTGGCTGGCTTCTATTTGTTTGGTTTTCAGGGCCTCCTTCGTCAATTTGTTTCTAAATGAGTGTCTCTTAGAGGCCTGGTGCAATTGACTAAGGCTTTGTAGTGCTTAAGCTCAGGAAGTTACTGAAGATCTGGCAGGAAAGAGCGTTGATGTAATGATATATTTGATTTTTCAACCAGCTTTATTATGAATGGCAATGAAGGTGCATTTGGGATATTAGGGATTTGGGATATTTGGGATATTTCCACACACTGCAACTTGCCAATACAGTATATGGTAACTCCGAGCCAACCAGATTTGACAGAAATTAGTTGAAAGTTTGATCGCATGATAATAAGGGGCGACACTTTGATGCTAGTATATTAACTGTTATAACCCATTATAACAACTGTTAAAATTGAAACTGCATCTTGGGTTTGTTTTCATTTCTTGCATTATATGCCCTCACTAAAAGGGGCAAGTTTAGTTTAGTTCATTTATTATGCACCCTATACCCATCCTGTGGGCAGTAATGAAGAGGGTTACAGAGAAGGCAGTGAGATTCTCCTGTACTAATAACAATGCAAAATATGTGTGTGGACTGTTTGCCATCCATCATAATGTGATAATTTTCATCCTTTAGGAAGATAGATTATCTCCTGTGTTTTCATGTTCCTTGTCTTGCATGAATAATATGATTTTGGATAACTTCTTGTATTCTGTACAAGTTCTGTCTCTTTGGTTGATCTGATTTCCTGTGTGGATGCATACAAGATTTGTTTTTAGACATTTTAAGCTATTCTTTGTTATGCATGTGGTAGAATAGTTGATGTAGCTAACAAATTTTTATTATTTGTTTAACCCATTAAACACCTTAACAAATTTGGCGAGTTCAGTATAGGAGGTAATCGTAGATATCAATTAGAGCAGTGTAGGGGTTAATGGTTATGAAGGCACTCCAGCAAAGTGGAGAGGCCTAGTCCTAATTCTGTAATACATAACCTTATATGATAATATTTATATAAGCCTGAAAATGACTTTTTCCTTAATAAAAAATAAATCCAATGATTACAAATATTTTAAAAGATACAACTAATGCTTTGAAAAATTTTCCAGCTTCCTGCTCATTAGGGGCAGCACAAGCAAGTATACAAGCTGCAGTTGACCATGTCAAAGTTCGAAAGCAGTTTGGGAAACCTCTCTCAAGTTTTCAGGTTTGATATGTATTCTTTGATAAGTTTCCACTTATATTTCTGCAAGCTTTCTTTATCCCTTGCATGCATGCACTTGTTCACTTTTTGGAGAAGCCCCATGGCGGCTCCCTATAGTTATCTTGCTGAAATTATTCCATACTACAACTAACATCAGTTGCAGGAATTCTGTTTGGCCTAATGGGGACCAGATCCAAAACCTGGCTCCCGTCAGAGGCGCAGAGAGCAAATAACATTGTATCATTTCACTGGGAAAGCATCCAGAAAGTCAGTGATGTTTTATAGACACTGGCTGGATTCGCAAGAATCACAACCTAGAAACTGCCAAACAACTCTCCAAACGATTGAATGAAAATAAAGCAGTTCCCTCGAAACTAGCTCGAACCCTTTTGTATCAATCACCTCTGCCAGGCAGCCAGGAGCTCGGTTCTCTGCCAGCTTGCCATTCAGTTCTGTCACTGATGTCTTGCCAAGTGCATCGCAGTAGTTCTCCATGGTCATCATCTTTCACAGTAGATCCCATTGCTCCTAAGCCATGTGACAACCAGTCTTAAGATTTGTCTTGTATATCATTTGCCTGTATATTGTTCCATTATAATATAAGCTTTATGTGCATGTTTCTTATCTGATGTTCTTGTGTGGACTTAGCTTTTTATACCCTCACTCCCTTTCCAGCCTGTTGTCGTTGTGAGGGGGGCTTGGTGGGCGGCTGCCGGGGTGTGATGCTCCATGGGGGCAGTCCTCTGTTCTTTTGAAGCCTTATACTCCTGCTGCCATCTTTACATTTACAAATTGTGCTGGATGGCTTTTTTCCTCTTATGTTTTTTTTTTCCCCTCCCCCCTCTTTTTCTTTCTGATTGTCACTTCCAACTGACTTTTTTACTTTTTTTATTATTTCTTTCCAATTTCTTCTGTTTTGATGCTGGGTGTTTAGGGACACCCGGCATCAAAAGGCTTTTTGATGCCGGGTGCAAAGACGCATGACTGAGGCTTTTACCCTTCCTACAGTTCTAAAACACCTTTTTCTTGCTCACTTTTCTTCACACTCCAGCTCCATCTCCATCTTCCCCAATGGATCTAAGTCTGCTGGCAGTGTAGGCTACTTCGTTGTGTTTCCTGACTGCACCTATATATGTCGCCTGCCTCCAGAGACTAGCATTTTCACGGCTTAACTTGTCGTGCATATCCTTGTTGAACGTTCTGACTTCCAGGATGTGCGTGCATCTTGCTTCCCAACTGTCCCTTGTGGTCACCTGACCCTCAGTATTGTCCTTGGTGAATTGGATGCCTATGATGTTGTTCGCCTTATGCGCTTTTGTTCTTGTATTTGCATCCTTAGTGATATTTAGTGCCTTTTGAATATCCCGCACTTTTGACGGTGCTACATAGCCTCCCGGCTTGGTGCCTTCTTTTGATAATTACTTACTTGGCTTTTGTGCTTCAAACTGCATGCATCCAGTGGTTACTTCCCTGAACTAGTCAATTAAACAATTCCAATCATGGATTGATTCATGCAAATTTGTGGTATGTGAATCAGTTTTTGAAAGAAATAATATTGACTCTTCATTTATCAAAAGTAGTGAATTAAATAATGTTATAAGTCCAGGATTATATAAATTAGATAGCTTTGTAATTGGTAAGATTTGTGATAGGTATAAAATTATGTAAAGGATAATTGTATGTGTAGAACATTCCATGAATTATGACATACCCTGTTAATCATCCCACCTTCATGTCATTTCCATTATTATGGATCTTCATCTACTTGGGTGTAGTGGGATATATACAGTACAGTAATCCCAAACTCATGTCTTCTGTTTATATTCTTTGATGTGTTGAAATACAAGAACATTAGGCATTTTCATTTCATTTTCCCAGTGGATACTTGTGCATAACCGAATCATGTGTGTTTTGTGATTATTTTTGCAAATAAAAGATGTAGTACAGTTTAATGCTTGGTCTTTGCATTTCAGAACAGTCAGTTTCGCCTGGCAGAGATGTCAACTGAACTAGTAGCTTCACGTTTGTTGGTCCGGAATGCTGCGCAAGCCCTGCAAGATGACCATCCAGATGCTGTTGTCCTCTGCTCCATGGCAAAATATTACACTACAGAAAAATGCTTTAATGTAAGCACAATAGTGAATCTCTATAGAGTAGACTAGTTGGACTGGACCTCTTCCATCTCACCAAGGTTCCAGACTGCCAAGGTCTTAGCCAATTTTGTTAACACTAATGGTAAACACATCTTGAGCATACTGTATACAGTGTATATATACAAAATATAAACAATGCAGTTTAAATGTACTGTACTGAATATTATAAGAGAAAAAATTATGAGACAATTTTTAGGAAATTTTAAAACTTTTCCGAGCTGTTTTATCAATAACTTCCTAGAACGTAGGCAATAGTACCGTAGGACCTCTTAATTAACACTTTCACTCGGTGATTACTCAATGTTGAGTCGTCCGTTTAGTAGATGGACTTCCAGCCACGACGCAATGCTGCGTCGTCAAGCACTTTAAGGCGCTATGCAGGGATTAAGCAAATTACATTTTAAATGTTACACCATTTTGGATTAACACATGTTCAGTGAATATTATGGAAACACTGTAATGTGTTTATAATTTATAATATTTGCAGATAATCAATGAGGCACTTCAACTTCATGGAGGGTATGGTTACCTGAAAGACTACAGTGTCCAGCAGTACTTAAGGGATTCGCGTGTTCACATGATTTTAGAAGGAACCAACGAAGTCATGCGGATTCTAATTGCACGTCATGTTCTTGCTGATTGAGATTTGTGTAAATACTGTAGTGAAAGATGTAGTGATATTACTACTTTTCTAGTTATAATTTCAGGTAATGTTAAATCATCATTAACTGTGAAAACATATATTGTATATATGAAGTATATATCACAGGTAGGAATCTGTTTGTAGATATGTACCTCCAAATCCTGTTATATGATTGCATAGTATTACTACAGACCAGAAAGAATTGCAATGTGTGGTGCAAAAGTCTGTATATTTTTCTCACTCTTGCTGTTTATAAAGCTAGGTTAAGTGAATGAATAAATAAATAAATGAGAAGTAAAGGATGTAATCAAGTGCCATTTGAGGATAGGAAAGCCAGGAAGTTGGATGGCCATAGTGAATGTGTGAGGCCAAAGGATTTAATATGGATTGCACACAATATATTAAGGAACAGGCTAGGTGGAAGCAATCTGTAAGTGTGAATGAATGTTATTGTATATGACTGCACTGCACACCTGGTCTTGTAAAGCAATATTGTACTACTGTAAATGACTGACATAAGACAAGTATCACCTCACTTCAAGCATAGTATGAATGATATAATGAGCGATATCAAGATATCTACAAATATAACATTTTGCAAATTTACTCATTTTCCTCCATACCAATGCCTTGCCATGAATGAAAATGCTCAATGTAATTTACAATTTATACAATAATTATTACCTGAGGTTTTAAAGCACTGAGTATACTTCCAATACAACAGCTACTTTAATGTTATATAAATATTACCTTCTGTGATTGATATTATCAAAGTAAAAAAAAATGTATATTTTTTACTCGTATTTTTTTCTTTAATTTAAAGTATGCAAGTAAATTAAGCGCAGAAATAAATCTCAAATATTTAATAAACCTGACTTTCATATCTGCCACAATGCATTTACAAAATTAAATTATAATGATCCTTTATATTTAATAAGAAACATTCAGCCTTTACAGTATCACACAACTAGAGTTAAAACATCTCTCGTATATTTTTTTTTTTTAAGATTTTCTACTGTTTATATTCTTAATATTCATCTTCACACTCAAAAGATAATGGTTTGTAGACAAGAGTCAGCACTATCACCGCTCCACAAAGTCCTCTGGTTACAGTCCTTCCCGTCTTGAATCTTCTAACCAGATTTTCATTACACTAACCACTGTTTTCAAACCTCTCAAATTCCAATTTTTTATTTTTAATCACACACATGCCAAGTATTTAACACCTAGACAGCAGTTATCATATGTTGATTTAGTCATACTGTAGTCACATAACGATTTAAACAATTATTATCTGGGTTTTACATGTATGATTGAAATAAGGATATAATAGCTAATACAGTATCCTTATTTAAGGATGTAATGGAGTTTACCTTGACCCATGAAGAAATCCTGCTATCATTTCATGGATATGTTACTAGGTTAATGAAGTCATTGTATAAAATTCCATCATTACATGTATTCCAATTATGTTTATATGGTTTTCACAAATGTGTATGGTTGTAATGGAGTATACCTGGTAAACCAACCATCAATTGAACCATTATCATGTGTTACGTGTACTAGGAGCCGGGTGGCATTGGTGGCTTACGCCTTTGTTTCAATCTATAATCTCACCCATATGGTACCAATTAGTCCATATGTCATGGCCCAAAGCCCACCACCATTGTACATTATGTTCATATGATTTTCACTATATTGTTGTAATGAAGTATACCAGGTACACCAATGATGACCAAACAAGAAAATGTAGATATGTTGTCATTTCTCCATTTTGTGGTGTGGTTTGGTCATCATATCCTCAGCCACATTATTGTGACTCATTGTGTGCAGGTAAACCAATCATTACTTGAAACATTATCATGTGTTGTGTGAATTACAGCATGTAATTTATCAAATATTTCAACACACATACTCTTGTAAATAAAAACATTGTGTAATTTGTTTAGTGTATTATTTCATATAAAGATGTACAAACTGCATACTGATATGCATCTCCTTCTACAGAAATTAATTTTAATTACAAATTGCTGCCCAGTTTAAATTGGTCCCTACATTTAATTCAAACACTAGTTGCCTAACAATAGATTGCAGTGATTAATAGCAGTCTGATGGCTTAGGCTATTGCACATTTCCATGTTTCAACTATGCAAATCCAATATCAGCCAGCTATGGATGATTCTTAGGCAAACACGTGTGATTTTGAAAACACACCTACCTTCACGAGTAATTTTACTAATACCATCTCGAACTTCATAGATCCAGTAACTGAAAATATAAATCAAAGTTAGTATATAAATTACATGGCAGAAAAAAAAAATATTTTGAGCTCCTAGTTACAATTCTGTTAAAACACTAGTTACAAATAATGTTAGACAACTACTGTACACCTACTTTATCCCAAAGGCTAAATAAGTTGCCCGAAATGCAATGCATACTAGTGGCTTTAGGTATTGTATGTACTACCTCTATCTTTAAATCAATCAGAATGTTTGTACTGTAACTGCAACTGTGTATGTACTTTTCCTAAATAAATTATTATTATTATTAGTCAAAAGAAAACTACAGTACATTGCTGAATAAAACTAAATATCAAATAATATCAGGAACTCTTCAAATATAATGGCTTAGCACTTTCTTTTCATTATTACTTACTACAAATATTTTATAGCAACATGCTAAAATATGAGATGGTGAATACTGTACTGTATTTAAAAATCCAGCACTGACTGATATAAAATGCCTCTTTCTGATGAGGTCCCCTCTGTACTTCTCTAAGGTCCCCATCTGGAATGTTCCAAATATAGATACAACACTAGGCTCTAATGAATCACAAGCACCTACTGTTGACCAGGACTAGAATCTGGCTCTGGCAACAGGAGAGTGGGAATACGAGATAACCACAAAACAGGAAAACCACCAGAAAAGTAGGGTGCATGAAAATAAGCAACTGTTAGGACAAAGCTGATTACAACTACTGTATGTACACACTCGTTTTCTAGATACAACCATTAGTTAGCTCTACTCCCCCATCACCAAATGGCAGCCCCAGTGACCCGAGAGTCCCAGACAGCTACACCAGTCACTTTTGCATCACCCAAGCAAGGCTCCTTTTAACACCATGTTAAGACGGGAACAGCGAGGTACAGAGGGGGGACCCACTAAAGAGGTATTTAATTAAACGACCATAGGGGAGAGGTGTAGAAGTCCCAGAAAACAGAGCTCAAACAACCATCCAGGACCAAGTGACCATCGAAGTTGGTAGCACACCAGGCAGCTCACAAGATGAACTTAAAAAAAAAAAATCAGGAGTGTGAAATTATTTCATATGTCCTGTAATAAGTGTAATGCACACACATTGTTCGAGTTCCACCAATTAAAAATATCGCATCGGCTCCGAGTGTTTACTCTCGTGCTTGAGATGTTTCTTTATAATAAACACTTGGTCCATATTTCTGATTTAAAGTACAGTACAGTAATGTACATATACAGTATTGCAAGGAAGTAAAGGATGGGGTTCGATAGATTGTACTCCAGTGTATGGATTAGAAGCTCATGCCCTTACAAGGGCGACCTGGGCAATGCTTGGTACCAAATCCAGTAAGAGATATACTATAGAAGAGATTGATTGGAAATGGTAGTCATTATGAAATGCATGAACTTCCAACATCATTTTATTCCTTGCTAAGCTATTGTACTGCTGGGAGGTGCCTGATTGAGTGGCCAAAACATGGGTCATTGTGATCCCCTCACCATCATCACCTGACCAGATTACCACTTCTACCTGCACCTTCCCTTCCTGTCCCACTAGGTATAACATTTTTGTATTGTATATATTCACTATCAGACTAAGAAACTTTTAAATACCCACAATCTTGTACGCCAAACCTGCATCAAATTTTAGTTTATCGTTTGAACAAAATTACAGTTCAGAACAGTATAATAATTACAGAACAGTAAATGTTTTAATTTACAATATGTAGTACTATTGTAAATTAAAAGGCAACACATAGTACTATTGCAAAACAAATTTTAAACCACTTTACCAACTGTGCAAGAATTTTCTCCAGGTGTTCTATGGTGACCATGTCTGCTCCCTCCTGCTTGGCCTGATGCGCTGCTCGTGTTGCACCTTCTGTTGCTACCAGCCGCATTATCTGAGCCATTATACATTATTACTGTATTATTATTATTATTATTATTACTACTACTACTACTACTAATGGTTTGTACATTTTCACTGACATTTCAGCCATAACATGGGTCACACTAGGGTCACACTAGACCCAAAAGGCAAACATCAAAATATGTAATGGAGGTGTATGGAGACCAATTTGGGGAAATATTAAAATTACACCAACTAGCAACAAAATGAATCACTGCCATTACATTTTTAGCAAAATATCCACAACAGTACTCCCACCACTTTATGACCAGATACAGTGCTCTCTGCAATTTGTCATGAGAAAATATGCTAAACAGTCACTCCATCTTAACAGGAGGTCCCCATTATACCAACACTCGTCCATCCGAACAGCCTCCCAAGTCCCCGGTTTTGTGTGTCAATCCTCTAATATACTGTAATTACCCAAGTGTATTTACAGGATGAGAGTTATGCTTGTGGTGTCCCATCTTCCCAGCACTGCTTGATACCTGCTTGATGAGGGTTCTGGGAGTTCTTCTACTCCCCAAGACCGGCTCGAGGCCAGGCTTGACTTGTGAGAGTTTGGTCCACCAGGCTGTTGCTTGGAGCGGCCCGCAGGCCCACATACCCACCACACCCCAATTGGTTCGGCACTCCTTGGAGAAAACTATCTAGTTTTCTCTTGAAGATGTCCACTGTCATAACGCATTGAAACTAGTGACAGTTTTGGCCTCCACCACCTTCTCACTTAACTTGTTCCAACCATCTACCACTCTGTTTTTCTACTACTTTTGTTCTAATATTTTTTAAGCACCCTTGTTCCTTTAGCTTGAATCTGTGAACTCTTTATTCTTGAAGTTTCCAGTTTCAGGAATTCCTCTTTGTCAATTTGGTTGATTCCTGTTATTATTTAGCAAGGGTGATCATATAACCTCTTTTTCTTCTATATTCTAGCTTTGGCATATTTAACACTTTCAGCCTGGCTTTGTTACTCTTGTTTTTCAGTTCCGGAAGCCATTTTGTATCATGCTTCTGCACCTTTTGCAGTTTAATGATGTGATGCTTAGGATATGGGCACCATGCAACTGCTGCATATTGCAATTTTGGTCTCACAAAAGTTATGAATAGTTTCTTTCGTATTTCACCATGTAATTAAATGCGATTCTGAAGTTGGAAAGTGATGCATGTGCTCTGCACACAATGACCTTTATGTGTTCCTCTGGTGATAGTCTATCCAAAATCTCCCCTAGATCTCTTTCTATGTTAGAGTTCTTTAATGCCTTTCCACTTGTAAGTTGAGTGTGGTCTATTTTCACCTGTTTCACATTTCATAACATGGCATATATTCACATTTAATTCCATTTGCCACATGATGTTTGACATACTTATTTTTATCTAGGTCCATTTGAAGGGCATGATAATCTAGGTTTCCTATCTTCCCTAGTAGTTTAGCATCATCAGCAAACATGTTCATATAATTCTGAATTCCTTCTGGTAGATCATTTATGTAGACGATGAAAATTACTGGTGCAAGAAATGAATCCTGTCGTACTACGCTAGTAACACTCTTCCAGTAAGATACATTGCCTCTAATTACTGCCCTCATCTTTCTGTCAGTTAAAAAAAAAATTCATCCATGTCAGCAGTAGTCTCCCTGTCAACTCTCCAGCATGTTCCAGTTTTCAAAACAACCATTTGTGTAGGACTCTGTCAAAAGTATTTTTTTAGGTTCAGATAGACAAAGTCAACCCAACCATCCCTTTACTGTAGAATCTCTGTGGCTCCTTACCTTGAGGTGCTTCCGGGGCTTCGCGTCCTCGCGGCCCGGTCGTCGACCAGGCCTCCTGGTTGCTGGACTGATCAACCAGGCTGTTGGACGTGGCTGCTCGCAGCCTGCCGTATGAGTCTCAGCCTGGTTGATCAGGTATCCTTTGGAGGTGCTTATCCAGTTCTCTCTTGAACACTGTGAGGGGATTGCCAGTTATGCCCCTTATGTGTAGCGGAAGCGTGTTGAACAGTCTCGGGCCTCTAATGTTGATAGAGTTCTCTCTCAGAGTACCTGTTGCACCTCCGCTTTTCAACGGGGGTATTCTGCACATCCTGCCATGTCTTCTGGTCTCATGTGATGTTATTTCTGTGTGCAGGTTTGGGACCAGCCCCTCTAATATTTTCCATGTGTAAATTATTAGGTATCTCTCCCGCCTGCGCTCAAGGGAGTACAGATTTAGGCTCTTAAATCGGTCCCAATAGTTTAGATGTTTTACTGAGTTGATTCTAGCGTAAAGGATCTCTGCACGCTCTCCAGGTCAGCAATTTCTCCAGCTTTGAAAGGGGCTGTCATTGTGCAGCAGTACTCCACTCTAGAGAGCACAAGCGTTTTGAAAAGTATCATCATCGGTATAGCATCTCTAGTGTGAAAAGTTCTTGTTATCCAACCTGTCATTTTTCTTGCAGTTGTGACAGCTACTTTATTGTGTTCTTTAAAGGTAAGGTCTTCCGACATGAGTACACCCAGATCCTTTACATTGCCTTTTCGTTCTATATTCTATCATAAAAACTAAGTAGATTTGTTACACAGGATCTTCCAGTTCAAAAACTACACTGTCTGTCTATTATTATGTCATTACTCTCCAGGTGTTCTACCCATATGGTTTTAGCTAGTTTTTCTAGTGTTGTGACTATCACGCCTTGTGTCTGGGCACCTGACAGCTGGGTGGACAGCGCTTCGGATTCGTAGTCCTGAGGTTCCGGGTTCGATCCCCGGTGGAGGCAAATGAGCAAAATGTTTCTTTCATCCTGATGCCCCTGTTACCTAGTAGTAAATAGGTACCTGGAAGTTAGACAGCTGCTACAGGCTGCTTCCTGGGGGTGTGTAACAAAGAGAGGCCTGGTCGAGGACCGGGCCTTGGGGACACTAAGCCCCGAAATCATCTCAAAATTACTTCAAGATAACCACTGTTAATGATATGGGTCTATAATTTAAAGGGTCTTCTTGGCTACCATTTTTTAGACTGGAACTATGTTTACCTATTTCTAAACATTTGCTAAGAATTCTGTAGAGAAAGATGTCTGGAATGTCAGTTGAAGTGGAATGAATCCACTCTGGGTGTGGTCCAGGCATGCACCTCCAACACTTCTCTTCAAATGCACAAAGAAATCACATTAACGTGATGTATCAGTGAGAAAATCAGTAGGAGCCATGAGGAGGATTTGAACCTAAACGCTGAGTACTCCCGAGCACACATGGTGTAGTAGTCCAAGGCGTATGCTTGGGGGTACTGTACTGTACTCTACCCACAGCATAGATTCAAAACCTCCTTATGGCCCCCTACTGATTTTCTCAAAAAGCTAATCTTCTTTACTCTCAAGTTTTTAACTGACCAAGATAATGTTACATGTAACTTTTGGCACAATTAGTATGAATAGTAGACTACTTGTGTTGTTGTTTTCAACAACAACACGAGCCAGAATCAAAACATGCACAAAAAGCTACAAAGAGCAAATGACCTCCACAGGACAAGCAAGTTCATATCACCAGCACTTAGCTTGAAGCTTTTGAACAAATCCACAAGGGCCATGACGAGGATTCGAACCTGCGTCCGAGAACATCCCAGACACTGCCTTAATCGGCTGAGCTACGACATGGTATACGAATTGCAACTAGAAATTCTACTGAATTTACTTGGATCCTGCAGCCTCTCCGAGGCACAAACCAGGGTTTTACACAACCCCCTCCCCACCCCCATGCACTCGAGCTATGTCAATAGGCCGTTCTCCCTATTGGGCGAGTTCTCCCAAGTAAGGGCGAAGAGGGAGAATGGCCTATTGACATAGCCTGAGTGCATGGGGGGAGTTGTGTGAAACCCTAGTTTGTGCATCGGAGAGGCTGCAGGATCCAGTAAGTTCAGTAGAACTTTGGTTTCAACTCCATTTGACCATGTCGTAGCTCAGTCGATTAAGGCAGCGTCTGGGATGCTCTCGGACGCAGGTTCGAATCCTCGTCACGGCCTTTGTGGATTTGTTCATTTGATGCATCACACAATTGGGATTTCTGTGTGTATTGAAGCTTTTGGGCTTGCCCATGAGCTGGCATGACTGGAAGCACTACAAGTTGGTGCAGTGACACTACCATCATGAGCAGAAATGACTTGAGGAGCTGGGGCTAGGCTGCCTGGTAGTGGTAATTGGTACTAACGAGTTTCATGCTCGTTTGAGTGAATCCATTGTTTTGTGTGACTCGTTTGTAGTAGTTTGGCAGTTTCCGAGGCTTCATTTTCTGTAAACCCTCTAGTTGTCTGTAAAATGGCTCTGACTGGAGACTTTTTCTGTTTGGTGAGGTGGCAGATTGTCACCTGTTCTCTGCTCCTCTGGGAGAGGGCCAGGTTCTGGCTCTGGTCCCTGATAAGCCAAACAAAACTAGTTTTGGCTGATGTGACCTTTCAGTAAGAAGCCATCTCAGAAAGATAGCTTCAGGGAACCACAAGGGGCTCCCCCTAGAAATACTGCAATGTCATCTTTTCTGTGTTTATAGCGCTAGTGTTTCTAGTGTGGCGAAAAAATAGATTGGAAAGTTAATTGACAAGCAAACCATATGTGGCAAGAAGTCACATATAATAAATGGGAACAGTTTACATACAATGAACAAATCCACAAGGGCCGTGACGAGGGTTCGAACCTACGTCCGAGAGGATCCCAGACGCTGCCTTAATCGACTGAACTACGACATGGCAAAAGAATTGCAACCGGGAAATCATCCCGATTTACATGGGGGAATTGCGTAAAACCCTGGTCTGTGTTTCGGAGAGACTGTAGGAACCGTTGGTAAATCGGGACGATTTCCAGGTTGCAATTCTTTTACCATGTCGTAGTTCAGTCGATTAAGGCAGCATCTGGGAGCCTCTTGGACGTAGGTTCGAACCCTGTTAACGGCCGTTGTTGTGATTTCTGTGTGTAGTTTACATACAATATTATAAAGTATACCTTACCTCTGCAACCAACTTGGTGGCATCTGCATTGATACGTGTCTTGTTGTTTTCAAAGTGTGGCTTCATGAATTCTTGAATCAGCTTCTGAAAGGCAGTACATTTATGTAAGACAGTTAATACTTAACACTTAAAGTGTGGCTACTATTATTCTGTACATTGATCCACAGGGTAGTGCTGTTATATAATTTTAGTTATTTTTATCTGTTTTCATAAAAATGATGAAAATATGGTTATACTACTTGTACATCTACATGGATGTAATGGAGTTAACCTAAACCCCATATATTGTATTGTATTTCATTTTCCTTGTATACTATTTGATTATGTTATCACATACCAGCAGCCTGCAACCATTGTATCACAATTTGCCTTATACACCAGTATTTGAATCTATTCCTGGATGACATCCAGGTAAAATAACACCAAAGTAGGTTGCAAGACTTTCTTTGAGCCATGTCAGAAACAAATGTGCAATATAGATGTATATCACCAGTGACTTGGTTCCTGACTCGATAGGGGATCCCGAGTTCTATCCCTGGGCAAGACAGAAATGGTTGGTGTTATGACCAGGGTGGTCTTGGATAGTGGAACATGGTATATTGCAGATAAAAAGTACTTTTTGAGTCCGTGAGCAGTTGAACCTACAATGCTGCCAGATGTATGACTGATTAAACCAGCCATGTAAGAGCCTGGCTGGTTTTGAGATGTTGGCGAGTGAATTGCAGTTCCAATTAGTGAATTATGAATTTGTAATCCCCATGGCGCAGTGGTAAAGCACTCATCCACCGGCACTTCACATGCACTTTGGCCTGGGTTTGTATCCTGGCTGGGGAGGATTGACTGGGTGCCAATCCTTAACTGTAGCCTCTGTTCACCCAACAGTGAAAGGGTACCTTGTTGTTAAACAATTTGGCAGGTTATATTCTGGGGAAAATATGGATTAAGGACCTGCTCAAAATGCTGTGTGTGTGTGTGTGTGCTAGTGGCTTTACAAAAATGTAAGAACTTCCCCAATATTAGTACTTAATACATATCTTTACCAGTGTAATCACCTCTTGTCAATTTATATTGTAGTTATTTGTTGATATAAAACCTTGCTACAATGTACCTTTTCATCTTGCCTGATATGTTAGATTAAAGACCTGCCTGAAATGCTGTGTTAGTGGCTTTGTAAGAATGTACAAATACCAATCTTAGGTAATCTCACCAACCCATCGTACATTCTTGTGAATAAATTATTATTATTATTATTGTGATTATTGAACCTGTAAAATTACTCAGATTTTTTTGTGCCTAGTGTGGGGGCACAATATACTGTATGACCATTTCTCCATAGCCACTGTCTAAGGGTTAAAATCCACCTGGAAAAAATCATTAGGGCAAATAGGAGACCTTTGACAAGCCACCGGCTTCCTGTCCTTACTGAGGACGCTAGTGTGTGGCCCTCAGGTAAATTCAGATAGCTTAGGTTAGGCTGTATTAAGCCTGGTTAGGTTGCATAAAGTAGGAACCATGTGACTTTTATCTGCCTGTATGGGCCGGTTACGGTCACTTCGTACCATAGAGTTTGCCAATAGATTTTAAAACCTACCTATCTTTACTCAACCCAACCAGACCTAACACTGCCTAACCTAATGATATAAATGGGTTTGACAATTGGAAAACAAGTTTTGTCGAAACACCTTGCGTACGTTTTTACAATACAATCTTCTTATGTCCTATGTGTATTTAGAATAAAAACCCACACTTGAGTATTTGTGAAATTTACATAAGGAATATACATAAAATCTTTTGCACTCTCCTGAGTGCTTTGTCAAGGTCTGAGTGTGTGATTAGGCCAAGACTTACATCTCAACGTCTAACGGTTAGACGTTACACACAGAAATCACAATAGCGTGACGTATCAAATGAACAAATCCACAAGGGCCGTGACAAGGATTCGAACCTACGTCCGAGAGCATCCCAGACGCTGCCTTAATCGACCGAGATACGACACGGTATAAGAATTGCAGCCAGAAATATTACTGAATTTACTTGGATCCTGCAGCCTCTCCGAGACACAAACCAGGATTTTACACAACTCCCCCCATGCACTCGAGCTATGTCAATAGGCCGTTCTACCTCTTCACCCTTACTTCATTACACACAGAAATTACAATAGTGTGATGTATTAAAAGAACAAATCCACAAAGGCCCTTGCGGATTTGTCCACAAATACAACAAACAAATTTTTGTTGTGTTCATTTAGGGAACAAACAAATTGTATATATTACCTATATATGTATAGGTAAATTATGGTTACAGTATTTGTCTAGGGATTTTGGGTTATACGTAGTGTGAAGACAACATCTGGAAATTGTTATATAATAAACATTTATAATCACCATAACACGAGGGTAAACAAAAGGTTAATTTGAATATTTGCGCGAATATGATTAACGTAATGCTTACCTCAGAGAACTTCATGGTCAACACCTCTCCCGTGATACTATGCCACCTTAGATGCTAATTATTTTGTTGCAACAATTAATATATAACTACGTGAATATTAGAGTAATAATAGAGTACTGAGAGAGCAGGAGCACAGTACAGGTCCGTCCTACGCCTGGCAACACCCTCCTCTCCTAACAATGCGCAGAACAATCTGTCACCTCTATGATTTTGCGTCTGGAATGTTATTATTATTTGTGTTGTTCATTTATGATGTAACAATATATGCATTAAATTTTGTAACTAGCTCATCAAGACTGTACCTTGCTTAGCTAAATGAATCGTTGGGGTTCAGTAACTTGAGCCCATTATATGTGCCTCTGTAATTACCGCCCAGTTATAATGGGTATGGGGTGCATAATAAATGAACTAAACAAACATATATTTTATATAATATGATTTGATCAATATTATTATATTGCGTTACGGTTTACGCAACCGAAATGCCCCCATATTAGTCATTTGGTACACAAGACGGTTCGCTCACATTTATTTTTTAGAATTTTATACCTAAAAGAGGTACCAGCTCTGGTGCAGGTGTAGGGACCCATAGCCTCGGAGAAGAAAATAAAGAGTACTCAGAGAAGACCTTGTGGATCCTCACTGAACACTTTGATATTTTCTTCTCCTACCACCCCTATTCTTTTGGTATGTGTTATGGTTCGGAACATATATATATCTAACTTTATTTGAAAATGTCATTACACAAAAAGGGTTACAACATGGTTACATGCAGGGTACAAGGCTACTTGTCACAAGTTGTATAGCTCCTCCAGCTCCTCAGATGGCGGGCAGGAACCATGGATGCAGTGAGCATTTCCTCTCTGGATCGCCGCACTAAGGTGCTGAAAGAGAAAACTGGCAGCTCTAGGGTCTCTAGTTGTTTCAATTAGCTTGGACCCCAGCTCCTTCAAAAAACTAGCAGCACTTTTACCCCAGGCACCAAGTGTCTCTGAGGCAATGGGGACAAAATTGTAGTGGTGCTCAAGGTCTCTGTATTTACGTAACTTGGCCGCTACCCGGTGATTAGCAGCACCTCCTGCTTGTGTAGCACTGAAGTCATCATAGGTGTTGGCTAAAGTTGAAACGCAAGTGTAGTTCCACACCAACTGTCTACCTTTCTTCCAGGGATTCGCCGTGATTCCGTCTGGGTGACCGACAGGCTCATCAGAGTTGCGGGACATTAGGTAACGGGGCTCTCTCTCGCTCTCTCTGCTGGACAACCGGCTGCGGTAAGGCTTCTCTAAATAATAGTGAGTACATTGTAGCAAAATTTTAAGAATATTAATAGGTACATTCCTGTCTCGTTTCTGGCTCCAGGCTGCTCGTAATTTGGTTGATGAGAAACGGCTTGTCTCCTGGTGGGTGTTATTAATACCTCGTGAATCACTTGAAAAAACAATTCCAATGGTAAGTGAGATTGCTGCAGACTATCATTTGTAGTACGTGGAATTTCTTGGAAACATATATTGATGTAAATAGTGCTTGTGGGATTATTAGGAACTTTTGTTTGCAATACAATTTCTTGGAATTTCTTGGAAATTTCTAGCCGCAACATTATTGCTAATATGGTTGCTAAAATGCACTGTCTAGTTCTTTATTTTTAAAATTAAGACTATGGGTTCATTATTGGGAATGGGGCTGATGTCTAACGAATCTGCAGGCCAAGACATTTTTATTCTACACCTTTATATACCCTGACCAGGATACAAGCATAAGAGCAGACTTCGTATACCCTGAGAACAGGAATTATCTCCATAAAGCCTGACTGGAAGAGTGAGTACTTGGCTACAAGAGATGCTGAGGGAGGCTCTCAGAAATACATTCTATAATACATTTTGTATGTACTAGCTCTATCTATAAATTCATTAATTTTTGTATCACCCCTTGTATGTATGTATTTTACCTAAATAAATATTTGAATTTTCATTTGAATTTATAACAATTCACTTTCTATATACATTAACTCGCTTATTTCTTTTTCAATTAAATTATAATACATTGCTATTTTACCATTATATGTTAATTTCTAATATAAATTTAATTTGTTAATGCTAGTATTGATACACACACAACTTTAAAAATTCTTTTATTTTTTTTGGCTGCATATATAAAATATTGTTAATCCTCGTTCAGGTATTAACATAAGGTGTAACCAAAGACAAGTCATATGAACACAGTACACTGTCGCCACCATTCCTCTCACACTTCAAAAAATACTTCCAAATAAAACTGAGAAAAAAAGTTTCAATTACAGCATTTAAAAACAACCCATCCTCCTGTTTAGATAATATCTATTGTGACGGTCGTCAATAGTCAAAATTCATACGTTCTTAGCTTTTAGATAGTAGTATACTGACTAGTAAGGAATTCTTGTAAAATAAATGAAGCTAAAATATAAATATTCCTAGGCCTAGTATGGCATACATATGTACTATATTCGGCCTCAGATATCGTGTATTAGGCCTAGGGAGGTTAGCATAGGTTAGGTTAGTTTGTCAGAGCCACACAAGTAAAAAAATAGTTTTCAGGTTTGTCCAACTCAATAGTTCGGATTTTTACGCTCTAATTTCGTTGTACGTCGGTATATATATATTATGGTCCTCATCTTTAATATAAGTACTACCATAACAGAAGGATGGGCAGTTTAAAAAAATAAATTTTAAAAGATTAAATACCCCAAAATTAATTCAAGCAAATTACACTTCAGTAATTAAATAGAAATATCAGGAATGTGTTAAGTCATTCGTGCAGGTTGTACTCTTTGACAGTCATCTCTACAATGGCACGCACTTTAATTGACCAAATTTATTACAATTCAAAAAGTTATTCAAAGCTGGAAATGACTGAATTCTAACATCCGTTTATTAATTTCATAACTAAACACAAAATTTTCAACATGATAAAAATTAAGAACATTCACAAAATAAAATTTAAGTTTTCTAACCGGAAAATTTGCTTCTCCCGTTAAAAGCAGGAGTTACATAATGTTCTATACTCTGGGGCTATATAATGTTCTCCACTCTGGAGCAATATAATGTTCTCCTACACTCTGGGGCTATATAATGTTCTTCTACACTGGGGCTATATAATGTTCTCCTACACTCTGGGACTATATAATGTTCTCCTACACTCTGGGGCTACATAATGTTCTCCTACATTCTGGAGTTATATAATGTTCTACACTCTGGAGCTATATAATGTTCTCCTACACTCTGGGGCTATATAATGTTCTCCTACACTCTGGGGCTATATAATGTTCTCCTACACTCTGGGGCTATATAATATTCTCCTACACTCTGGGGCTATATAATGTTCTCCTACACTCTGGGGCTATATAATGTTCTCCTACACTCTGGGGCTATATAATGTTCTCCTACACTCTGGGGCCATATAATGTTCTCCTACACTCTGGGGCTATATAATGTTCTCCTACACTCTGGGGCCATATAATGTTCTCCTACACTCTGGGGCTATATAATGTTCTCCTACACTCTGGGATATAATGTTCTCCTACACTCTGGGGATATATAATGTTCTCCTACACTCTGGGGCCATATAATGTTCTCCTACACTCTGGAGTTATATAATGTTCTCCTACACTCTGGGGATATATAATGTTCTCCTACACTCTGGGGCTATATAATGTTCTCCTACACTCTGGGGATATATAATGTTCTTCTACTCTGGGGCTATATAATGTTCTACACTCTGGGGCTATATAATGTTCTCCTACACTCTGGGACTATATAATGTTCTCCTACACTCTGGGGCCATATAATGTTCTCCTACACTCTGGAGTTATATAATGTTCTCCTACACTCTGGAGCTACATGATGTTCCCCCATACACACTGGGGCTACATAGTGTTCCTCAAACACTTGTGCTATACAATGCTCCCACATTATACCTCTAAAGTGAACATATAATACAATGAGTGAGGGATGTACATACTAACAAAGCGCGTATCTTTCTTAAGAGAAACATTTGACATGCTATTAATGATTCAGGTGTGTGCAGAATGTCACAGCCCCCGGTCAGTCTCCACACTAAGGTGGTCCTCATAGCTGAGTGTTGTCCCCCCTCATTACCGCCAAAGGCGTCTATAATAGAGCTGAAGTTATCAATGACATTCCAGAACATAACACCCTTATACTAGAGTCTTGAGCAGAACACAGCGACGGTGGTGACAGAGATCAGGAGACCTCTAGAGTCGGGTGACGTATATTGGGCCAAAGGAAATCTCTTGATCCAGGCGTACCAGTCTTTTTTTGTGCATCTCTGCGGGAATGGAAAGCAAATGAATATTATGAAACAACGTCACAATTATTATACGATGTTATCTGTTGTTTTTCTCCCCTAGGTTCCCTTAGACCAGCTACTGACCTTCCCAGGGTTGCAACCCACAATAGTTGTGCCTGTTGTTGTTGTTATAGATTCCGCTACTCGGAACAAGTTCCAAGTAGCACGGGCTATGGTGAGCCCGTAACTTACCTGGCACAGGAGTGGGGCAAGTAGCACGGGCTATGGTGAGCCCGTAACTTACCTGGCACAGGAGCGGGGCAAGTAGCACGGGCTCTGGTGAGCCCGTAGTGGACTTACCTGGCACAGGAGCGGTGCTCTAATAATGCAGTTGTGCCGTTCTCGGGTACCTAAATTACACTACTAGGTGGCCAGGCATCAGGTGAACCGAAATTTTGTCCAAACGCTTCTGTCTTGCCACGAAAATCAAACACGGAATCTTTCGGGTTCAAGTTCAAGTATGTTTATTGAGACAAGAAAGACATACATCTCAAAGGGATAGAGTCGCTTAGGCTATTTCTACCACTCCCCCCCCTCCCCCCTTTCTTTCGGGTGTAACTCAGCTGCGCTGACTACTGAGCCATAGGACACTGAAGTACTCAAGTTAAGTCTCTTGTCTATATACAATCCTACGAGTTTTCCCACACTTTTACTCTCAATGTTAACATTATCCGAAGGTTTGCAGACGAGGAGTCACAATAACGTGGCTGAAATATGTTGACCAAACTATACACTAGAAAGTGAAGGGACGACGACGTTTCGGTCCGTCCTGGACCATTCACAATCGACTTGAGAATGGTCCAGGACGGACCGAAACGTCGTCGTCCTTTCACTTTCTAGTGTGTGGTTTGATCAACATCCGAAGGTCTTTTTTGTCAGATGATTTGTTTCCAAATAAAATGTAGTAGGCCTTTTCTATGTTTAGTATGAGGATGTTGGTTGAAATCCACGAGTGACCTTTTTAAACGGGTTATTTACTATATAATTTATGATGTGGGGGGTCGGGGCTAGAGAAGGTAGTAGCATCACCAGATAATACAGGTGTAAGAAAGTTTGAAACATTTGTTAAATCACAGATGAATATTTAAAAATTGGATAGGGCCTACAAACTGTATTTAGGAATGAAGAAACATTAAAATAAGATTGGTAAATGACAAAGATAACTTTGTACAAATACAGTGAAAAGTGACATTCAGTGAGACAAATGTTGGGAATAACACTTACCAAGAAGAACGGAGAACATGTGGGCGGCCTCGCCTCTTGTAGGGTTGGGGGGCAGAAGACTGTCTAAAGTGACCTGTGCTCCTCTGGTCAGGACATCCGTTAATGCTTTCTCGGTTTCATGTGGTTTTAAGCTACTCGGCGAAATCTGCCGTATGGGGGAAATAAAACTGGGAATAAAAGTGTCGCTGATGTCAGCGGGTCCAGGCGGAGAATGAGGACCGGGCATTCCTACTGGTGCCCTGGGAGTGCCACCTTCTGCAGGCACTTGCCCCGTAACTGATTCTTCAACGCCAACTGGAGAAACCACCTCGGCTACATCAAATTCTTGAGTAGTAGGGAGAGGCACTCCATTCACAGTCCTGAAGGAAACAAGTTGGCAATATAATAATAATTAACTTTTACCAATCTGGTCAGTTAATAGAAGATTACCGGCACTCATTCTCTTAAGGAACACGTCGACATAAAGACAGCACATTTCAGCTTCAATAGTTGGGTTGGATGCTCATCAACGCAACACAACATAAGGGGGACCATCCTCAGTTCCTATCCGGCACCATCAGTTTCACAACCTCTATTAATTTTACAGTAATCTTTCATTTAACTGTATTTAATAAAGTAGCAAATACAGAACTGATTGTGGCTGAACAAAAATCATTATCTAAGTGTAATTACCAAAGTGTAGTTACAGGATGAGAGCTAAGCTCGTGGTGTTCCGTCTTCCCAGCACTCTTTGTCATATAACGACTTGATACTACAAACGGTTTGGCCTCCACCTCACTTAACTTGTTCTAACCGTCTACCACTATGGATCCGATACCTTCCAAGGTATCAGGTGAAAGGAAACGTGCCCAACCGTTTATAGGGATATAAACGGGATTGAACTCTGGTCTCTTTCTTGTGAGTGGAGCATACAGACCCCTGCACCACAGGACCCTATGTGAGCTCGCTTAAGAAGGTCACTTCCCTCCGTGTCTGCATTCTTACCTTTATGATAACCTGGTTAATTCCTGGTCACCACTGCATCAGAGATTATATACAGTACAACTTGTCTCCACCAGTACTGTTACATCACTGGGTCCTTCTCTGAACGTGTGTTTCCATCCACTCATACACACATCCAAACGTGTTGGTTGTGAAGCAACCAACGACCTTAGAAGAGCTTTAAGAGTCCCTGAATCTTGCAGTGGCCACCCTGAAGCCATCAACACAGCCACTCTCCTGGTCAAAAAAGGTGTCCAGCAGCTGGACATCCTCATAAAGACTGTCAAGCAGTATCCTCCCCCGCGATAACAGCTTGACGATTAAATGCAGCCTCAGAATACGGAAAAGAGTTACTGAACAAAAAATTGTACCACTTACGGGCTATTCATACCCGTGCCACCTCTTGGGTGGCTTAATCTTTATCAATCATCAATCACTCCTCTTGTTCCAGATTACAGCGACCTTAGCGTGCCACATTTTTGACTGAAGTAGATGGCTGACCAACAGTGTTAGAGGAGCGGTAGATGTGTGACCAACAGTCTCAGAGGTAGATATGTGACCAACAGTGTCTCAAATGTAGATGGGTGACCAACAGAGTCTCAGAGAGGTAGATATGTGAGCAAAAGTATCTCAGAGAGGTAGATATGTGAGCAACAGTATCTCAGTGATAGATGTGTGACCAATAGTGTCTTAGGCAGATGGGTGACCCAGAGTGGCATAGACGCCGACATAAGGAGTCAACAGTTAGGTATAACCTACCTTTTTTGTGGGGAATGATAATGAACGTCGGCTTGTAAGGTAACGAGAGTGGCCCCGCCAGGAGGCGAGCGGATAGGACCTCTCTCCGGGGTTCTCTCAGGAGGGACGAAGCTGCTGACTCGCGGCGGTTTTGGTAACATGCCAGGGGGCGTGGCAAGCCCGATTTCCTCGAAACCACTTTGATCTGTGAAGAAAAAGTCCCAATTTTGTCACTGAAGCAGAGGCCATGAAATCCACACATAAAAGAAAGAGTAACAACGTTTTGGTTTCTGAACAGATGCATGAGGAGAAAGGAAACCTACCCAGCCTTTTCTGCCCTACCTGGGGATTGAACCCAGGCCATTTGATTGAGACAAGGACGCAGGCCACTGTGCTACAGGATCCATTTGGTATTGGTATGTCACACTTGCAAATATTTGTCAGTTACTGATCTGTTCCTTTACTGTGGTGTGTGGGTACTGTGGCTCTAACCTCTTACTTTACTGTGTGGTGTGTGAGCACTGTGGCTGTAACCTCTTACTTTACTGTGTGGTGTGTGGGTACTGTGGCTGTAACCTCTTACTTTACTATGTGGTGTGTGAGCACTGTGGCTGTAACCTCTTACTTTACTGTGTGGTGTGTGGGTACTGTGGCTGTAACCTCTTACTTTACTGTGTGGTGTGTGGGTACTGTGGCTCTAACTTCTTACTTTACTGTGTGGTGTGTGGGTACTGTGGCTCTAACTTCTTACTTTACTGTGTGGTGTGTGGGTACTGTGGCTGTAACCTCTTACTTTACTGTGTGGTGTGTGGGTACTGTGGTTCTAATCTCTTAACATCCTACTCATACAAATTTTTAACACTAATTAAATAACATCTTGCTCTGCTAATAGAGCATACAGAATTTCCTCTACCTTGTAACATACTCGAGGACAGGAAATTAAGACTATTACCTTACACAGTAAGGTGAAGAATAATACATATATACAGTTGTTAATATTATGCTTGCTCTTTAACTTTAGTTGCTATAGTTTTATAAGAAGTGTTCTTGACGTGCCCATGTACAGTACACAACACACAGCTCTTGTACACTACAGTGAGGTAACCAGAACCCCTTTATTGTTCCCTGTCGTGTACAAGGACCCCCGTCACACGTGTATGTCACCAAAGGTAGGCACCCGCTCCTCAAAATAAACAGACATACTGGTCACAGTCTGTGTCTCAAAATAGACAGACGGTCCCAGCCATGGTCCTTTCGGAAGAAGGGAACTATGACCAACTTGTTCGTTGGATTAAACATGCCCGGCAAGTGCTATATTACTGAAATGCAGCTGAAGACACAGAAAATCGTTAATATTTGATTTCAGGAAATTATAAGTTAAATTCCAAATAAATTAATTAATACAAAATTAATATTAGGAAAATAGGAAAAATTATAATAAGTTGAATGCTTCAGCTTCCATTCAAGACGGCTGTCACCGAGCCCTGAAGTCTGTAGCCTGAGGCCGTCTTCCCCAAAGAGAAGTGCCTCTCCCCGACGGCATCAGGGAGGGAGGGAGGGGGGGATAAGCACAATGAACTTGATAAACAAGTCCTTCAACGCTGGGCTGAGGAACAAGCCCTTGTTGACGATGAAGGGTTTCAATTTCATAGGTCTCTCGATGAGAAATTTCTTCGCTAACTTGATCCCACTTGGTGTCTCTCTTTTTTTTCCCCGCCCTCGTAGAGCCCCAAAGACGTCTTCAATGGTCGTGGTCACAATGTTGTAGTCATTCTCACCCTCGCTGCTGCTGGTTTCCTTTCCTGAGCCTGTCAGGATCTTGTCCACAACAGACACCATCTGCTTCTTCACCTTGGCAGTGACCCCATCGTTCAAGGCCAGTTGTAAACACATTTTTTTTGTTTTTGAGATATATACAAGAGTTGTTACATTCTTGTACAGCCACTAGTACGCGTAGCGTTTCGGGCAGGTCCCTGGAATACGATCCCCGCCGCGAAGAATCGTTGTTACAACCGTAGTAAGTACACATTTTACTGTTGCGTTAAAGAGGCTACAGTTAAGGATTTGCGCCCAGTAAATCCTCCCCGGCCAGGATACGAACCCATGACAAAGCGCTCGCGGAACGCCAGGCGAGTGTCTTACCACTACATCACGGAGACTGTAACGCAGTCATCTTCTAGTTTTCAAAATAAGGTTTGCCAACTTTTTTAAAAAATAACGCTGCCTCATGATGGACACAGTTGCAGACATTCGGCCCTTTTTGGTCACTCAGTCCTGCCCACCTTGGAGTATAACATTTTCCAACACTTAAAAAACAGTAATAATTAATGGAAAATACTAAAAGGAAGTTGAAAGTGCAATATTTTGTAATTATGGCTGGGACCTTACCCCCCCACCCCCTCCCCGTCCCTCAATAGGGTTGCAATTAGCATACACTAGTTGCTTGCAACCAGTGTATGCTAGTTGAGGCACCGTACCTCAACTAGTATACTTGTTGAGGCACCGTACCTCAACTAGTATACTTGTTGAGGCTAGTATACACAAAATGTGTATGCAGCATTTTGAGGCCCAGACTGGGACGAGCAGCGTCTCTCCATTTTGACCGCCTGTTCACATAAAACAATGACCTTCACCTGTGACAACTGGCAAGAGCTTCTGTTTTACCGAGCAACTCTCTATCTTAATACTCTATGATTAAATCAATGTGCAGTACTATGAGGCAAGCTTATTTATATGTTTATATATATCTCTACCACATTTTCGTTTCCTTTTATTCCCACCTCTATTACTACATATAAATCATACATTTGTATTATTTTATTTCACCTGGTTTTGGAGGACGAACTGGAACTGGCTTCGAGGTTATCATACTCCTTGGTAGGTCGCGCTCTGCTTGCTGTGCATCAAGGGGTAGTGATAGTTCAGCCGGTGTGACCTCCGTCAGTCTGGTCACTGTCAGTGTGACCTCCGTCAGCGTGGTCACTGTCAGTGTGACCTCCGTCGCCTGGGTTACTGCTAGTGAGGGCTCTGTAGGTGGTACCTCTGCCGGCGGGGTCACTGCCAGTGGGACGTCTCCCGGTAGGGCTACAGGAGGCCCGGGCTCCTGTAGCACAGGCGGCGGGAACATCTCCACACCTTGCTCCTCTGTCAAGAACACAAGGTTGACAAAGTGACAGCGCCACTCACAACGAAGTGGCCCAACACGAATAGTGAAGATATCCACAAAGAAAAATGCCATAAAATGAGTACTCTGAATTAACTATGCACATTAACATTACATTTCAATAAGTGAGAGTGACATTCTTGTATGGCAAGGCGCTAATCATATACATTAGAACGTCACTATTTGAACGATGTTAAGTAGAAGTACCTTGAATGGTCAGCAGCTGGGTGGTGTCTTGGAAGAGGCCCGGAGGTACACTGACCTCCAACTGAGCAGTCTTGGGGGTCATATGGATGCTGTAGGGAGGATAACTATCAACACACACAACCCGAGAATAAAATAGATGTGAAAAATACTGAATATAACAAGCTGCATAACAAATATATGATACAAAGGGAGTGGGGGAAGAGAGACCAGATGAACAGTGTGCTTATTACACTCCCACTACTCCCATTACATATTACATGTTGTTGTTGTTGTTATAGATTCAGCTACTCTGAACAAGTTCCAAGTAGCACGGGCTATGGTGAGCCCGTAACTTACCTGGCACAAGAGCGGGACAAATAGCACGGGCCATGGTGAGCCCGTAGTGTACCATTACATGTAAAGTGTATTTTATAATCTGGCAGAACTCTGAGGGTTGGTGGGGAGAAGCAGCGAACAAGAGACTTCGTCATATGGCGCTAGAGGTGATCCTGCCCTCTTCTTTGGCATAGGTACAATTAATTGGTGATTCTCTTGTTAATGGCAGGATTATGGGCTTATAAGCCTATAAGCTTTCTATAAACAAACAGCCTATTTAGGATCTAATGTGTTAATTCTAGTGTTAATTCTTTTACGAAAGGTACAGATTTACAATGCCACCCATTTCTTTGAAACTAATTGTTACAAACTGTAAATCATTTGCTAAATTTCTTAACAATTTTAAATATGTTAGCTTATTTCTCGTATAATATTAAGCGTTACCCTATTCAACATATAAATAAATTCCCTAATTAGTTGAGGTTATTGCCGAAACGCTTTATTAGTAACTGTATATAATTTATATTGTGCATACCTAGTAATACTCCACTGTAAAATGCTCAAAAGTATATGGTATAAATACAAAAATAACATTATTACAAATAAATCTCTGATATCTCTGAGAGACCCTTCTGGAATTGATTTTGTCTTTCCTTTATACAAAAAAAAATTACCTCCTGCTGGATGAGCCTTTAGAAGACTCGTGGTGTGATAACTGGAACATGGAAGCATCGCCCAGGTCCATACTGGAGACGCTGGCTCCAGCAAGAGGCTCTTCAACAGACTCATCCACTAACTGCGTAAAAGAAATTGAGAGAATTCATTGAAGACTCAAGAACACTTACTTAAGAATTGTGATATTCCATTTAATTACATCAGTGACCAGAATAAGCTTGATAAGCAGGTGTAAGGTAAGAAAGTTATTATTGCAAGGAAAGCATTATGCCAGTAAGGTTATACACACCAACTGGGCCGCGGGCACGGTGATCCCCGGAATCAACAACAGGTAGGTAGGGTGCCATAGCTGACATGTACACTGTAGGGTGCCACAACTCCCAGTAATACGATGACCCCCCACCCCCACCCCCCCAGCTGAACACTCCAGGATGCCCCAGCACTATTGCATACTCCAGGGTAACTGATTGACGAAGATCAATCAAGACCTTAATCCAGTAAGTAAGTAGATACCTATAGGATCCAGTAAGTTCAGTAGAACTTCGGTTTCAACTCCTTTTGACCATGTCGTAGCTCAGTCGATTAAGGCAGCGTCTGGGATGCTCTCGGACGCAGGTTCGAATCCTCGTCATGGCCCTTGTGGAATTGTTCATCAATCAAGACCTAATTTTAGCGCAAAATGATCATTTGTTTTCTAGATATCATCTGAACCCAAGACCAGCCAGGGCAGTCGGGTAGAATTTCCATACTTGCCAGCACACAGGTGTCTGAAGACCTGTGCAAGGCTTGGCGGACTTATGTTTCCACAGGAAAATTACAATGGCGCAGAGGGAAAAATGATGAACAAGAAAATGAGATGAAGAGGGAAACGTAGGACCAAATTATGTATTAAAAATCTAGACCATAGCATGCTTTCAAAATATGAGAGCAGGACGCAAATACTCTACCACCAATTGTTTAGAGATCTAGTCGAATATTAGATCTTTGCTAATTATCTGATTAGCCAAGAAACTTATACAAAAAGAAGTTTAAATAAAGCTGAATTTAACAATTATATACTCTTTCCATCTATCAGAAAAAATTATAAGTAACATATAGCACTATTAAATAATAATTTTCCCCTGTTTCATGAAGGTACATGAGGTCAATTTAGCGAGGAGTGGCAATAAACCTCCATACCTGAAGCTGTCGTCTAACTGGGGGGTGAGCCTCAGGGGCATCCAGTATGGGCAGCTGAAGAATGTAGCGTGAGGCGAACATGTGAGCGAGGCTGGTGGCCAGGGGGCGCCGATGGGTCACTTCGGACAGCAGGCGACCAACGGGAATCTTGTGGCGCAACCCATGAACGTCGGCCACGTCCTCGGCTGAACTCTGTCAACATATAATAATACGCATGTACTTGAAACACATATATACTCTACTATATGCACAGTACTTGAAATATATTTGATTAATTTTGACAGCATCGAGGTCAATGATGCAGAAATTGGCAATGACGGGTTGCGATGTAGAGAAAAAAAGTTTTTAGGTTTGAGATAGCATTACAAATCTGAGGCAATAACCGGATATAATGTAGGTCAATTTTAATATTATCTTGATTATATTTCCGAATACAAAGAGGTTTACCCCTAGGCCATCAACTGACCTACTCCAGAATACACTCCACAACAGTTGCAAGGCTCACACACATACTCTACATTAGTACACCCCGTAAGGAAGGCTTACCTCACGCCGCATGGTAGAGGAATAATCTTGAATTTGTGCTCTGATGTCGGCGGTGGTGATATGAATGTTTCGGTCGATGATCAGACGTCGCCTGTGTCCTCTGCCCCTGCCCCGGGGCGGCGCTCCTCTCTCCAGGGGCCCCAGCCTCAACTGTACGCCACACCAACCTCTTATTAATAATCCTCTTGATTACTTTTCGCAAGAGGAAATTACTTGTTAAAAGGTTATGCCGCTTTAAGTATTACATATACTGGGAGGGGAGAGGGGGTACAAGGCTGCACTAAGATCTCTCTTTCTTCCAATCTCCCTTTCTCTTCCAGTCTCCCCAGTTCTCTATCTTTCTCCCATGAGAACCCCCCTCCCCTTTCTTCTCTACTCTCCCTCTCAACCCTTCTCCACCAACATCCCCCATCTTACACTTCTCATCCCTTCCCTTCACCATACACCTCTTCTCTTTCTCCTTTCTTCTCTCTCCCTCTTCTCTCTTTTTCTCTGTAATACTGAAGGTGATTGTAAGGCTTTTAAAATGATACCCTACACACATAAATACATACAGTTACGTCTGGCCTACATAAACAGTGTTTGAGGTAGGTTCTTCAGAGTCCAGTTGCGTGAGGTCTCTTCTCATAATACAATGAGTTACATTATTGTGATAAGTTTGGTAACTTTCCGGGCTGAAGGCAGCTTGACCTATGTGATGGTTCAAGGCACAAGTTACAACCTGACATTTTGCAATTGTATAAGGCCATATAAATGTAATTTTCTAATGGAACACAGAGCACCTGTTTATACTAATATTTTGTATTGTGATTAGTATGCAAATTGATTTATAATTCGATAATTGATTTATGTCACCACCAGGGTTGTCTCTCTTGGTAGTGTAGCTTGAAATATTCTAGACAACGTTATTTACTCAAGACTAATGTATTAAATGCAAATTTACTCGAAACAAACTTATTAATTCATAAATAATACTGTTATGGTGAGACTTGCATGCCAGTACGAGAGAATCAGTCAACAACATGACATACATAAAAAATATGTTGGCATTTCAGGTAATCATTAGGTGTATTAAGCGTGACTCTGGCATCATTAATATTCAAAGACTCAAGACAGACCGGTTCACTGTCGCTCGGTAGTAGAGGCTGCTGGGGCTCGAGGAGGGTCTGGTCCTCGAGTGCCTCAGGGAGTTGGCCCTTCTTCTTTAACAAATCATCTGGCACTGTCGGCTGCTCAGGGGTCTTCTCCACTGGAGGCACCACCACCATCTCAGGCTGCCTGCACCAACCATCCCAAGTTTAAGTGAACACCGGTAATAAATATATATAACAACTTTAACATTCTAGAAAGAGCTTCTAAGCCTACAAAATTATAATTGAGTTGGCAACTATCAACTGAACAACGCTGAAATTGCCCAATCGGAATATGACAAATATCTGGGTCATGATTAGCACGGATCTTTAGCTGAAAAAAAATTAGGTAATAAATACTTACTGAGGAGGCGCAGTATCTGTGACCGCCAGCACAGGTGAGACTGGTGGCTCAGGTAGGAGTGGTCGTGCTGTGGAAGAATGGAACTGTGAGACACTGACTCGGGACTCTTGCCAGGTATCATGCGGCGACGGACATTCTCTCCAGTCACTGCCCAGCAACAATAGAGAGTTCAAGTCACCCAGAGGCTCCACTGCCCAGTTACAATAGCGAGGTCAGTCACCCAGAGGCTCCACTGCCCAGTTACAATAGCGAGGTCAGTCACCCAGAGGCTCCACTGCCCAGTTACAATAGCGAGCTCAGTCACCCAGAGGCTCCACTGCCCAGTTACAATAGCGAGCTCAGTTACCCAGAGGCTCCACTGCCCAGTTACAATAAGGAATTCCCAATATCTCCAATTACAACAGGGAGCTTCCAAGATGAACAATCATAACAATTTCAAGTCTGAAATCATCCCAAAGATATATCCACATAGAACACCAAGAGAATTTGTGAAGAGCATACAGACAAAATATACTGCATAGTTAAATAAGCAAGGGGTAACTCCCCCTTTAGTCACAAATATCAGCGAGAATGACTTTTTGACTGAACAGTGAGGAGCTTCTCTCTTACAAAGCGGCCTTCGCTCCAACAGAGGGGCCAAGCCTCTAATAGAGGAACCTTCTCTCTTACAGACGGGCCAAGTCTCTAACAGGGGAGGGTCTTTTCTCTAAAAGAGGGGCCAAGCCTCTAATAGAGGGAATCTTTTAACAGAAGGGTCTAGCCTCTAACAAAGGGGCCTTTTCTCTAACAGAGGCGCCAAGGAACTAAGACTACAACAGAGGAGCCAAATCTCTAACAGAAGGGCCAAGTCTCTAATAAAGTGGCCAAGTTTGGCCAATAATGAAAATATTATTCACTAACGTAAAGGCCAAATCTGGAGCTCCTCCTCCTCCAGCGGTTGTTCTGTCTGACGAGGGAGCTCACGCTCGACGGCTCCCACATCCGCACTTCCCTTCTCTGCTGTATCGCCTTCCAGTCGAAGTCTCTTTGTAACGCTTTCAATGGTCTGAAAATAGTCACCAATTGTAACACGTGCTGAAAGGGAGTCAAGGATTTATATGCCATTTTCTGTAAATATTCAAGTAAACAAAGTGTACATGATAACAAAATACACAATTCTACATAGTTGTTTTCAAGCTATATGACCATCTAAAGTTTCAACATTAGTTAGTGTTAGAATCTTACTGGGGATGAGGGAGGCTGGGGGGCTAGCGGACCCTCCCAGGTGGTGAAGGAGGGCCCTAGGTCTAGCGGTCCTATCTCCGTCATCAGCGCCTGCTGCTCCTCTGTCAGCTACAAGGGATCAACACTAGTAATCATATTTATTACCCACATTATCGTTTTCAAGATACAACATTTTGGCTTCGGACATCTGTGACTTTATTTCAATAAGTATTATAATAATAGTTCATTTTCTCCGGGGACAGGCAGCCAGCTTGTACATGTACAAGTTAGGCTTACATCGAGGTCTCTCCCCAGGATGCAACCCCGCAATAAGCTAACTCATGGGTACCTATTTATCTCTAGGTGGACAGGGCCATTAGGTGAAGGAATAAATTTCCATTATTTCAATAAAGTCCAATATAATCAACACTGTAAAGCCAGCAGACGCTAAGTGATTAAATAATTACACAAATGATATTGTTAATACAAATGCTAATTTAAACTATTCACTGTATACCACCTGCAAAATATTTACCACAAATTTTAATTGATCACAAACAGAACAAAGTTTATGTTGTCATCAAACAAGCGCTCTCAATCCACACAGCTAATTACTCCAACACATTTTAACAGACATTTTTAATATTGCCAAATATCCATCACAAGTTTGTAACCTGTGTAAATACCTTCATGCTCTCCAGGTCATTGATGCAGGCTGATGCCCCTTCTTAGCTTGACCTCTCTTCCTTAGTTGTCACTATATTTCCCATTTTCTTGTTTGTCACTACCACCCTATTTTCCTTGTTTGTCACTACTCCCCATTTCCTTTGCCACTACCTCTCCCTTTTCCACTGTTGTCACTACCTTCCTATTTTTTTTGTCTCTCACCGACTCCTCAGTCTTTCAATATGCAATATACCAAAAATCCCAGAAGCCTCTATAGTACAAGAAAACCAACATTAATATAATACCCGCAAGGAAGCAATTTGCAACTCATCTTCTTGCAAGGTGATGTCCTGGGGTCTGGCGCGAGTAGGGGTGTCCTCGCCCCAGTCTATAGCAAGAAGAGAGAGCAGGTCGCCTTCAACGCCGCTGGGTTCCTCTCTCAGAAACTGAGACTCGGAGAACGTGTCAGGTCTGCGGCGCTTCGGAGTCCCTTTCTCCTCGATCTCTCCGCGTTCTGTGAAATATTCCGTAATTAGAGATGTCGACCACACACACGAGAAGGTGAGGAGTTGACGACGTTTCGGTCCGTCCTGGACCATTGTCAAGTCGATTGTCTTGGTTTTCGGTTCAGGACGGACCGAAACGTCGTCGTTTCGTCTTCTGGAGTGTGATTTGGTCATCATATCTTCAGCCACGTTATTGAGACTCGTCGTCTGCGATTGGAGATGTCGCCACGAACACATCTACAAAGTAACTACAGCAAACATTTAACCACACACTGTTATATGGTTTTCACATTATCTGGTTCCTTACATGACCATTTTTTTTTTTACCCCTCCACGACCACTGTGACTCAAAACATCAGTTGACCTACACGTCAGCAAACACAGAATTGACCACTGTGATCAATGCAAGCAAGGTAAATGTGATGATAATAAATGAGTTGGTAAACTGACTTCTCGGTGTGATGAATGCCCCGAATCGTCGAGGTGGTGGTGGGGGACCCATGGTGGTCCACTCTAGGTCTCTCATCACCTGCTGGGGCACCTCTGCCAGCGTCACCGACGACCTCCTGGTGGGGAAAACATGCACGTCATCTCCGGCACTAACACCAGTCTAAATGATCACATATCATACCATACCTAAATCATACCATCAATATTTAATATTACAATTGGTGATTTGGTTAAAATAGTGCATATCTAGGAATTGTCAACAGACACAGACTTTCAGTTTACAATATCAACTTTAAAATGCATTCCATATCCAAACGTCATATCTTGAACCCTATCTATCTATATCTAAAAATAGAATGTCTGTCTGCTTGTCTGTCTGAGCAAGGTAGGAGGCTAGACGCTTGGGGCTAGCTAGCATCATCCAACTTTTCAAGATAACACATAGGTGGTATGTGAATGTCATAGGCCAGTCGTAATCGACTCCAATGCCACACTTTAAGAAATTGCATTTACCGCGACTCCATGCGTGATTTTCCTGCTCTGAAGACTTTGTATTGTCATTATGTTATGATTCTTTTCCTATCTTTAATGATCGCTCGCATGTGGATATTTTCGTTTCATATTTACATTCCAAACATTTAAATTCTTCTTTTACTTATGCAAGTGAGGAAAATTCAAAGATTTAATTTCTTTACATATTAATTACAAATTTTACAAATTTGAAAATTAATAACATACATACAAATTCTGGGAATTTGCATGCATAGGGAACTGTATTCCCTATCCATCTGGGAACACCCACAGCACAGGTTCAAATCCTCATCACAGCCCCTGTGGATTTTCTCTCTGATATATCACGATAATGTGATTTCTCTGTGTATACATACTAATTAATAACATAATAACACCCAACAAATTACATATGTGGCGGCTGTGAGCTAATTAGTGAAGCCTTAACGCACATCAACCTGTAAACATGTGCAACAACTGGCTTAATGGGCATTTCCGGGTTGTGACATCACCAGACAACTGAGGTCAACACACTACTGATGTCATAACACTATTGATGTCATCACACTATTGATATGTCATTACACAAATGAGATTATCACACTACTGAAATTTTTCTCATAATTAAGGTCATTACACATCTGAGGTCATCACAATCCTCTGATTGATCAACTGAGGTCAATCCTCCCTGGCCAAATCGCTCGCGAAACGCCGAGCGAGTGTTTTACCACTGCGCCATGGGGGACTAATTACACAATTCACCACATAACTCACCACACGGAGGGCACGTCCACGTCAAGTTCCATTTTCTGCCGCTGAATTTTTTCGAACATTTCCAGGGCTTCACCTGAAGGAGGAGAGAGACGTGAACCCCCACACAAAGCCTTGCCCCCACCCCTGCACTACTCTACTACACCACAACCCACCCAACACTAGAAGGTGAAGGGGACGACGACGTTTCGGTCCGTCCTAGACCATTCTCAAGTCGATTGTGAATGTTGTCACAATCATTCTCACAATCGACTTGAGAATGGTCCAGGACGGACCGAAACGTCGTCGTCCCTTCACCTTCTAGTGTGTAGTCTCTGGTCAAACATACTTCAGCCACGTTATTGTGACTCATTCCCCCTGCATACAGTAACTATATCTTAGCTGAGAGGGAATTTTCAGATAAACTGTCACTAAACTGTCTTAAGACTACCTTATCTACCCCCTCCACCCCTCTTCATCTCGTCCCAGCAAAGCTAAACAATGAGAACGTAGGTTCGAACCCTTGTCACGGCCCTTGTGGATTTGTTCATTTAATGAGAACGTTGTTTCAACATTGTTCTTATTCTCGTGCAAGTTTCGCCCAGTGGCAGCTAGTGAAGGAGTGGCAGAGGTAGAGGAAGACCAGTGACTTACTAAGGAGGAAGTAGATCTGGCGGCGGTAGACCTTGATGGTGCCGTACATGAGCATGGAGGAGAGGTAGAGGGAGAAGCGGCCCTCCTTCCTCTTGTCTCCAGACACCACGTACCGCAGGATCTCCTCGCTGGCGGCCATCACATGGAGATCACAATCCCACAATAAATGAACAAAATCACAAAAATTAGGATTCGGGGGCAGGAGTAATCTTAGTTACATCCTTCACAGTAATACATAGGCTCTCTTCAACCTTGACAGCACGTAAGTGCTGACTGAATGATAATATATACGGTTTAATGCAAGAAATATGATCCATCCACAACTTTTAAGTCCAGATTCGTCAATAATGCAAAAGGTACCATAGAGCTAGACCTCACTTCCCCGTAACCAATAGATAACTTCTGATAGTTAAGCATACGAGACAAGTACTCTTAACCCAACCCTTACGACTAACATATCTCTAGCCGTTAAATTTACATCTAGACTTTTCTAGACATAAATCTAAACTTTTTTTTTTAGATGCCCAGCCTACAGTACTAACGTGACTTGCTACTGACCAAGTATGGGTGACTCTGACATTGATGACGTCCCTGAAGTTCTTGTCTTGGCGCTTCTGGTACTTAAACCTGCCCGTCGCCACCAGCCACACCACGGCCAGCTTCCCCTTCCTGGGGTTGAGGATGTCGTAGCTGTAGAACATAGTTCTTGCTGCTGCTGGGGGCTGCCACTGGGGCTTCTGCTCCTGCTGTCTTCCTCCTCACACTTGCTAAGAAGTTCCTTACCACACCTCACTGCTATCCTTGGGCAAATATTGACCCACTAAGCACTGCAAATGAGGACACATACGTTCATGTTGTTAAACACGGCATTCTGAGCCTTAGGATATTTGTTTTGATCACATAGAACTATACTAATACACAAGAATAATTCATAAGTAAATAGGTAGACGTTGCCCCCTGAGGCAAATTCAGCGATATTATTCATGAGGAAGGTGTCAATAAAGGTCTTCGTGAAAACATACAAGCACCCCTCAGATATTCCATGCAATTTTGTTATGTAACCCAGTCAAACGTGGTCGGTTTTTCTTGTTGTTGGAATTATTTTAATTAAGTGCTAGTATGTGGCCTAATGCTTAGCTTCATATATCCGTGATCATCTATATCTTATATAGATGAAACCGTTGTCTAATATAGCCAACGTGATATTATATAGCTTAATATATCTAACGTGCTACTAGTAGCCTAATATATCCTATATTATATACACTTATGCTATAACCTAATATATCCTGCATGATATATAGCCTAATGCTGTAGCCTAATATATCCCACGTAAAAATTATACAACCTAATGCTGTAGCCTAATATATCCCACGTAATATTATACAACCTAATGCTGCAGCCTAATATATATATATATATATATATATATATATATATATATATATATATATATATATATATATATATATATATATATATATATATATATATATATATATATATATATATATATATATATATATATATATATATATATATATATATATATATATATATATATATATATATATATATATATATATATATATATATATATATATATATATATATATATATATATATATATATATATATATATATATATATCCCACGTGAAATTATAGTCTAATGCAAAGAAATTATATTAGCGTAATGTATCAATGCGAAAATCAGTGTGTGTAGATTCAACTCCTCATAGCTCCTACTGATTGTTTCGTACACTTTAATGTTAGAGGGCCATATGACTCCTGGCAAGCTGACATATATAATTCTAGTTGTGTTATTCTGTGGCCTACCAATACGGTAACAACTTTTGTTGTTTATACGAACTTGCATCGAACAAAGGTCGGTTTTGGTTTTTAATTTACCATTTGAGTATCTTATATAAATGAGGCGAGACATTGAGTATGAGATAATAAATGGAGGGTTAGCTGTGGCCATGAACTAGTGAGACAATAAGGTCAGCTGTGGCCATGAACTAGTGAGACAATAAGGTCAGCTGTGGCCATGAACTAGTGAGACAATAAGGTCAGCTGTGGCCATGAGCTATAAGACAATAAGGTCAGCTGTGGCCATGAGCTATAAGACAATAAGGTCAGCTGTGGCCATGAACTAGTGAGACAATAAGGTCAGCTGTGGCCATGAACTAATGAGACAATAAGGTCAGCTGTGGCCATGAACTATTGAGACAATAATGTCACCTGTAGCCATGAACTGAGACAATAAGGTCAGCTGTGGCCATGAACTAGTGAGACAATAAGGTCAGCTGTGGCCATGAGCTATAAGACAATAAGGTCAGCTGTGGCCATGAACTAGTGAGACAATAAGGTCAGCTGTGGCCATGAACTATTGAGACAATAAGGTCAGCTGTGGCCATGAACTATTGAGACAATAAGGTCAGCTGTGGCCATGAACTAATGAAACAATAATGTCACCTGTAGCCATGAACTGAGACAATAAGGTCAGCTGTGGCCATGAACTAGTGAGACAATAAGGTTAGCTGTGGCTATGAACCAATAAGAAGGTTAGCTGTGGTCATGAACTAATGAGACAACAAAAAGGTTGCTTTCAACCTGGTTGCTAGAGGTTGTTAGTTTTCCACCAATCTGGCCTTCCTCAGTCTTAGCCACGGAACCTAGGTTTGCTCAGTCTTAGTCACTGAACCTGGGCTTGCTCAGTCTTAAGTCACTGAACCTGGGCTTGCTCAGTCTTAAGTCACTGAACCTGGGATTGCTCAGTCTTAGTCACTGAACCTGGGCTTGCTCAGTCTTAAGTCACTGAACCTGGGCTTGCTCAGTCTTAAGTCACTGAACCTGGGCTTGCTCAGTCTTAAGTCACAGAACTTGGGTTTGCTCAGTTTTAAGTCACTGAACCTGGGCTTGCTCAGTCTGTCACTGAACCTGGGCTTGCTCAGCCTTAGTCACTGAACCTGGGCTTGCTCAGTCTCACTGAACCTAGACTTGCTCAGTCTTTGTCACTCAACGTGGGCTTGCTCAGCCTTAGTCACTGAACCTGGGTTTGCTCAGTCTTAGTCACTGAACTTGGGCTTGCTCAGTTTCACTGAACCTGGACTTGCTCAGTCTTTGTCATTCAACGTGGGCTTACTCAGTCTTAGTCATTCAACGTGGGCTTGCTCAGTCTTAGTCACTGAACTTTGGCTTGCTCAGTCTTAGTCACTGAACTTGGGTTTGCTCAGTCTTAGCCATTGAACCTAGGTTTGCCCAGTCTTAGTCATTGAACATGGGCTTGCCCAGTCTTAGCCATTGAACCTGGGCTTGCTCAGTCTTAGCCACTCAACCTGGGCTTGCTCAGTCTTAGCCACTCAACCTGGGCTTGCTCAGTCTTAACCACTCAACCTGGGCTTGCTCAGTCTTAGTCATTCAACCTGGGCCTGCTCAGTCTTAGCCACTGAACTGGGCTTGCCCAGTCTTAATTATTCAACCAGGAATTTTTTCAGGATAATGAGTGCCAAAGAACATTACGTACGTGTAAGACTCACGGTTATTAAACTTGTAGTGACCGGTTGAAGAAGGCTCTTTAGAGGAAGAGGGTCCCAAGGTACGCAAGACTCATGGCGGTCTCTGGCCGACTGGTCTGCTGGTCGCCTTCCCGCGAAAACTTTTATTTTGGTTCCAAAAGGCGGGAAAACTTGTCCAATTGCATGTCTGACAAGTCATGATTTCGGGTCCTGTAATTTATTATTATGGCAGTAAACTTTTGTTAATTTGTATAAATATAATATAATTAGGAACTACTAAATGTTTCAGTGTATATCAGTAATTCCCTTTAAATTAAAATATTGTAGGCTATGAATTGTTATGTGTTGTTTTCGTAATGAAATATTCTGTCAAGCTTTAGATCAATAACAATATTTTTTATTTAGTCATTTTAAACAAATAAATAACAATTGAAGAATTATATCCTGCTGGAATTCATATGTAAATTGCATCAGTACAAATTTAAATGTATATCTTCTTGATAATATATATTTAACATAAAAACTTTGATGTGTATAATGTACTGTAAAAAAATATGAGCTAAATGAAAATTAAATATAGCTTTTTCACAAGATGGCTCATGGTTCTTTAATATAAGTGAAACGATAAAATTGTATCTGTGGTGGCCGGAAAGTTCTCCAGCTGGGTAGAAGCTGTATTATTGTTCCATGATGCTACATAACTTTATACTGTAACGTCTTCATCAAGAGCGAGTTTGCTAGATCATTGAAGAAAGCCTGTTGAAAGTTTAAGCCTGAAAGACATTATTGAAAGAAACGTGAACCTTACCAACACCAACTATCAGAAGATTAACTTGACACGCTACTACCAGAGGAAGAAGACCACCAACTTACTCACGACGAACTCTCCTGACACCAAGTGAAAAGCTTTGAAAGAGGCAAATGTCATTTATGCCTTCACATGCCCACTTGCGAACCATCAGGTGCAAAAAATCTCAGTATACAGGCGAATAAGTAATTATCAAAATAAGGCGCCAAGTCGGGGAACCTATGTATACAGGCAAGGCAGCAACATCTCTTTAAAAGTCGCCTGAAAATGCACAAACAACAATGAAGTCTCCATCAAAGAACATATAATTTCTACACACATTAAGATCATAACCAGAGACATCCTGATGAACAACACGGAAATAATTGACAGAAACAACGGCAACAAAAAAATCGACACCGGGGAAGCACTATATGCATCAGAAAATGTCAACCGACTATGACATTGTCTGATCTCTATGACAGCCAGCTCTCACTGAGGCACATTTTATAGTCTTCAAGACCAAAGTAGAATAGTAAAGCACCACTGCCCCAATCATCATAAGAACATACGAAGTATGGAAACTGTAGTAGACCTATTGGTCCATGTGACACCTTACCTTTCTCGGGTGCTAACTTGCTAACTTGTATTACAGGCTATTCATGCCCGTGCCACCTCTTGCGTGGCTGAATCTTTATCAATCAATCAATAAGCTAACTTGAATACACGTCACCTCTGTCTGAAGATTTTGACAGGTTCAATAAAACGAATATCTTACCGTCAGGGCTGCCAAACTTGGTACTTTTGTACCAAATTTCGTACATTTCTTGCTTTTTGGTACTAAGCGTTGATAATTTGCTATTTTCTATAATTCTACTACTCTGATACAAAATCAAGATATAAAATTTGAATGCAACAAAAAATTGATGATGTTTCTAATTTTCCAAATTCTCATTCATAAATTTATTTATTTATTTATTTATTTATTTATTTATTTATTTATTTATTTATTTATATATACAAGAAGGTACATTGGGATTGAGGATACATAGCATAGTAATTACAATCTTGTAAAGCCACTAACTAGTACGCGCAGCGTTTCTGGCAGGTCAAACATTTATTACTTCTACAAATTTCTTTGTAGAAGTGTCAGCAGTACTTATTGTGTGAGTGTGTACCGGAACTGACCACGTGCGGTCCTCGAGGAGAACTTGAGGCGTTATGGCGGCGTTACTCTCCTCACCTGTGAGGGCGGCCACCCTGCTACTCTGACCAGTCACGGACGCGCTGGGTTGTGAGCTGGTCGTTCAATGTCAGGTGCTTGTTTATGGCATATGTTTAATCCCCCATCATAGTGAGTCGGAAACAAAGGCAAAACTCTGGCCGTGACAGCGGGTCCGTGGCGACTTTAACGAAGGAAAACAGTGCAAAGGTGTGAACACAAAGTGTCTTAGCAAAATATTGGATGATAAACTATGTTGGGAGTGGATCATTAAGAGTAAGAGACCTGAATAAAGCATTTTTGGAAATACTGTAAATGTCAAATACAAGGGAGTATTACCCCATATACAAACTTTCAAACGAAAAATGGGGAAATAAGAATGGTTTCCGGGCATTATCCACATTCATGATGAACCTCCCGCCATTGTCCTCTTACCCTGTACCTCAGACAACATTTTGTCAACATAAAAGTGAAAAATCGATCAAGTCTTAAAGGCGAAACTATTAATGATCTCTTACATGCTAAACGTTTATTGCAAGGCCCAGACGGCACTAAATACACGCCTCCATTCCATCTTTGTGATAAGATCAAGCAAGGAGCATTGTGTAAGCAGAGGAACATTGGCAAGAGGCTACCTTCTTTGCAAGAGGTAAGCAATAAATATTCTGTGATATTTTACTGTCTACAGCCCTGTGGTTCCCAAAGTCTTTACGGTCATTACCCCTTTTTCATATAAAGTCATTAATGGTCCCTACTCTCAATAAAAGGCCCTCTCGGGTATCAGTACACTGCCTCAACTTAATGCCCCCTACAATATGGGGGGAAAATGCCCCCCTCCCCTCAGTTTGGGAACCGAGGTCTACACGGTATTACAAGTATATTGTATTTTTATAAATATAATTCATGTTTCTACGTTAAATAGTAAATCTTCTACTTTTTTATGTAGTAATTTTGGTATATTCATTTAAATATTTTAGGCAGCCCAGGTTAGACCTTATAAACTGTAACAATTAACACAGGTGAGTTAATTTTTCAAATTGTTTCTCAAGTGAAGAACTTAAGAAATATAGAGAAGAGTCTTGATATATTAATTAATCTCACAATCGGGGATCCCAGGTTCGATACTGGGCGGGACAGAAATGGTTGGCCCACGTTTCCTTTCACCTAATGCCGCTGTTCACCTAACAGTAAATCGGTTTTTGGAAGTTAGGAAACCGGTGGGGGTTTTAACAAGTCGACTACGGGCTCACCATAGCCCGTGTTACTTGGAACTTTTTTTGTTCCAAGTAGTGAATCTTAAACAACAACATGGTGTGGGTTGTATCCTGGGAGGGTCTGGGTGGGTCCCTAACACCTTGTCATAGTGTTAGGGACCATAACACCTTGACCTTGACATAGTGTTATAGGAGGTAGAAACCTCGATATAAACTTAAGAGTATATATGTACACAGGCATCCTGACCCCGACAAAACGTTATGCTGTATTGTTTTAAATCGAAATTTCACCACTTTGAATTCGAAAACAGTTTTATCCTGAGCGATAAATTCAGCCTTTTTGTTTATTGTTAACCGTTTATATACAATATTATATCACCTCGTTCACTGACTTTCAAAAAAGTAACTTTGTTATTAAAGGCGTAGCTGACCGTTATATCTAAACTAGGCTGTGTATATATGAAGACAAGTGCTTGTTTAATCAACTTTAAAATGTATTCACAGTATTCTCTGAATGATATGTTAGTAAAACTTTTCCATTTGTTTATCACTCGAATAAATAACACGATATTTTCCTTCGAAGAATTAAATAATTTGCTTATTTTTGGAAGTCTGTTGTTGAACGTTATGTTTGTGCAATATTTTAAGTATTTTTTTCTGTCAAAACTGCCTTGTCATTTAATAATCTCAAATACTTCTAAACTATTAAGTCACCTCTTATCCTTTTCCTTCCAACATTTTATCAACTAAATTCTCTTTTCGGAGTCTTCATATGATTTAGTTTTTGACTTAACATCATGCTCGTCGCTCGGTGTAAACAAAACAAAAAACTAATTTACCGATGTTCTTACTCAAACAGGACTTTTTAATATAATTATTAGCAAGCTTAGGTATACACAGCAATGTGCTGCTACCCCCTATTCTATATGAAAGATTACACAGTGTAGATAAAAAAAACTAGCTATAAGTTCATATAATATTTCCATCTCACAGGATGGTTAGTCATACATGGAATCAGGGGAGAAAATACCTGCTTCAATATAAAAATAAATTAACTCTGACTAAATAATAACTTAATGATTTTCATAAGAGCTAAGCACTGAATCATGGAAATATTATATTATAATTACTTTTACCAGTTTCTATACGCTTCCTCTCAAATAATGTCTTTTGTTTTAACAAGCTTAGGTATACTAATGCTACACTATTCTGTATGGAGGATTACACAGTGTAGATAAAAAAAAACAGCTACAAGCTCATCCAACAACCCAATCTCACAGGACGGATACTCATACGTGGAATCAGGAAAGAACATGAAATGTGAGGCTTCAATGTGAGGGAAATATTAGCCTCCACTAGGAAAATCTAGGTACAGCACAAGAATATCTTCTAATATTCCTGAGTGTATGAAGTAATTACAGAGCTCAAAGTACTTCATACCATTTGGTCTGAAGTCAATGATAAAAGGGCAATAACAGATATAGTGTTGGAGAGTATGTCCCAGCTCTTGTTCACATTGTTTACAATTGGAATGTTCACCATTGGGGAATTCATTACCTGCAGCCACCTACCATAGATATCTATATCCCAGCATAATTCTGGCAATTACAATGTCACACTGTCTAGTGGATGTTTTATACTGCCCGTACATATAATTATCGGTTCTAAATATGTCATTGCTCTCTATACTTGTGCTTTCTGGCCTTTTAAGAGTCAGTAACTGTTCTGTCTTCCCTAATTTCCTGAAATATTGCGGCTTTTACTGTATAGAATGGAATGCCCATATCTAACTCAATTTCAGACTTATGCAGTTTTCACATGCAGTTTTAGCTGCCTTGTCTGTGTCATCATGCTGGACAACACCTATATGAGATGGTATCCATTAAATGAAACTCTGAAACTCTTGCTCTTTGCATTAATAATGTTGTTTATAATGGATGTTACAACATTCTTAATATCTAATTTTCATGTTGGGCTTTTTAAGGGCCTGAAGAGCTGACTTTCAATCACAGAAAATTACTCCTCCACTGTTCTTCAGTGCGTTAGTGGCAAGTTGTAGTGCAGCTAATTCTGCATGTATGGAACTAAGCCAGTTAGTTATTCAGTCTCACACTTGTGGTCTGTATGTATATATATATATATATATATATATATATATATATATATATATATATATATATATATATATATATATATATATATATATATATATATATATATATATATATATATATATATATATTTTATTAAATATGACCGAAAAAGTAAGATTAATAATTCTAACACGAATTTTCTCAATCTTTCGTACATTATGCTTCACTGTTGGAGGTAAATCAAAAATCACTTCTCCAAAATTCATTTTTATTTCTAGTCTGACGCGACACGGGCGCGTTTCGTAAAACTTATTACATTTTCAAAGACTTCACAAATACACAACTGATTAGAACTTGCGTTTCCCTGATTTTATATCTACATTTGAGTGAGGTGGGAAGGGTGATGTGGCATTACATTTGAGTGAGGTGGGAAGGATGATGTGGCATTAGAGGATATTAATAGGGTATTAAAAGTATCAACACAAGACAGAACACGAAACAATGGATATTGAATAGAAGTGTTTGTAGAAAGCCTATTGGTCCATATTTCTTGATGCTTCTATATTGGAGCGGAGTCTTGAGGTGGGTAGAATATAGTTGTGCAATAATTGGCTGTTGATTGCTGGTGTTGACTTCTTGATGTGTAGTGATTCTACACATCAAGAAGTCAACACCAGCAATCAACAGCCAATTATTGCACAACTATATTCTACCCACCTCAAGACTCCGCTCCAATATAGAAGCATCAAGAAATATGGACCAATAGGCTTTCTACAAACACTTCTATTCAATATCCATTGTTTCGTGTTCTGTCTTGTGTTGATACTTTTAATACCCTATTAATATCCTCTAATGCCACATCATCCTTCCCACCTCACTCAAATGTAATGCCACATCACCCTTCCCACCTCACTCAAATGTAGATATAAAATCAGGGAAACGCAAGTTCTAATCAGTTGTGTATTTGTGAAGTCTTTGAAAATGTAATAAGTTTTACGAAACGCGCCCGTGTCGCGTCAGACTAGAAATAAAAATGAATTTTGGAGAAGTGATTTTTGATTTACCTCCAACAGTGAAGCATAATGTACGAAAGATTGAGAAAATTCGTGTTAGAATTATTAATCTTACTTTTTCGGTCATATTTAATAAAATATGTCTACAGGAAAGACTGCTACCAAAATATACTAATATATATATATATATATATATATATATATATATATATATATATATATATATATATATATATATATATATATATATATATATATATATATATATATATATATATATATATATATATATGTTGTCTTAGTATATTCTACAGGCTGCTGCAGTGCGCCCTGTTGACATTTGAGCAGACCCATCAGCGTGAGCATAGTGCTCGTGAGACCGTAAGTTATTTATAGAGGAAACAAAAGTTTCAAGTATTGTTGCTTTCAGGAGTTCTGGGTTTTCCTGGCTCTTTTTGCTGATGGGCGTGGATGACACTCGTATTGCAGGTTACAGATATAATGGAAACTTCTGATTATAGGCGTCTTTACTCTTATGATTTTTAATATTTTTACAAACCAGACCACTTTTAACATATTTAGCTTAGGATTGCTTGCATAGGTTAGGCTAGTCACTTTTCCATTTTTTTTAGGTGTAGTTGGGCTAATTCAGCAATACAAAACGAGGATTTTTGGGGGGCCCAACAGCCCATTTTTGTACGTTTTAGCAAATAATTGCTATAAGTACTATCATTATTGGAGGATGGGTTAGCATTATGAAACAAAAGCGAGATATTCTTATGCTGTACCCAGATGTTGCTAGTGGGGGCTAATAGATCAGCCTTACATTTTATGTTCTGACCTGATCTTCAGTCAGAGTTGATTTGTTCTTTTATTGAGGCAAGTATTTTCTCCCCTGATTCCATGTATGACTAACCATCCTGTGAGATGGGAATATTAAATGAACTTATAGCTAGTTTTTGATCTACATTGTGTAATATTTCATATAGAATAGGGTAGGTGCACATTGCTGTGTATAACTATAGCTTGTTAATAATAAAAAAAGCAGGCAAGAATTATGTTGTTATTGGTATATTGCGGACCTTATTTAATTTAACTGATAAGTTGAATTAACTTATTTAATTCAATTAAGTTAACTTAGTTGATCTCATCTTTAAGGATCCTACCAAGTCTTTGTCTTGGTTTTACTTCTAATATGAGTATATAAACAAAAACTTTGTATCTTAACGCTCTGAGCAAGTTTTATTTCACTTTCTTGTGGCTGGTCTGGTTTTCTGGGTAACTGAATTTACTGCCCTTCTGTATACCTAGTGATCTATGGGTCCTGGTGCAGCGATACTTTTTCAGTGGGTTGAGCTCAGTTGCTAGAATGTTTCACGGCCTTTGTCATTCAAATAATAATAATAATAATAATAATTTTATTTAAAAATATACAGACGAATATGATACAAAGGTTTAACAATTATTACACCATATATATTTAGTTATTTTGCTTTTCTTTTTTTATTCTTTATATAAATAAATAGCTCATTTAGGTAAAAGTACATACATCGATACATATTAAGTTACAAGCAGAATGTTGAATTTCTAGATAGAGCTAGTATATATTATGCCTAAAGTCACTATTATGCACAGCGTTTCGGGCAAGGTATTAAGATAATAATAATAATAATAGTGCAGGCGATGAGTCACAATAACGGCTAAAGTATGTTGACCAGACCCCACACTAGAAGGTGAAGGGACGACGACGTTTCGGTCCGTCCTGGACCATTCTCAAGTCGATTGAGAATGGTCCAGGACGGACCGAAACGTCGTCGTCGTCCCTTCACCTTCTAGTGTGTGGTCTGGTCAATAATAATAATAATTTATTTGTAAGAAGGTACAATGGGCTGGTGAGCTTAAATAATTTTGGTATTTTTACATTCATGCAAAGCCACTAACACGCATAGTGTTTCGGGCAGAGTACTTCTGTAGAGGAAGGTATTTCGTTTCTTGAAGTATTAAGGGATCTTTGTTTCATTAGGCGAATTACTTGTGTAAAGGAGGAAATGTATATGTTTATCTCTCAGAATGTTTGGTAATATGTTTATTGTTTGTGATGTGTCTATGTATGTATTAACACGATGTACTGAACGGGGTGAGAATAGCTTGAGCTACCTCATCCCTTTGTGTGTATTTTACCTCAATAAACTTATTTCAATTAGACGAACGACTGCTGTAAAGGAGGGACCCAGGAGCTAAACCTTTATTCAGCAAATTGTCAGACAAGGCATGATTATTTTTAGTTTAGATCTTGGTTTAGTTAATAATTTGAATTATAGATTATGCCCGAAACGTTACGCGTACTTGTGGCTTTAGGTATTGTATATACTACCTCTATCTTTAAATCTAACAGAATGTTTGTACTGTAACTCTGCAACTATGTATGTACTTTTCCTAAATAAATTATTATTATTATTATTATTATTATTATTATTATTATTATTATTATTATTATTATTATTATTATTGTTATTATTATTATTATTATTATTATTATTATTATTATTATTATTATTATTATTATATTTTATTATGTCCGTCTTGAAATACTTTTTCTTTTAAAGAAAACGGATAATCACTATGAAAGCAAAGGGCTGACTAGTGTAGCCCACTTGATATATATATATATACATATATGCACCCATTTATACAAATGCATATACACATTGATAATCTTTTTTTATATGACAAGTGATTCAACAAGAGGCTCACAACAGTCACTATACAAGGCACTATACATGTATAGTGAGTCACACAGTTACTAGTCTCGCTCCACACGGATTACGTTCACCAATAGCAACGTGTTTTGATTCCTTTTACGGGTATCACAGCCATTTTAGCTTCGTTCACCGGGTTTAGTTGATTATCGAACAATTATAAACATGAGATTGCTGTACTGTTTCAAGCGTAGGTTTGACATATATTTGAATGAGTTTGAGTGGATATAAATAGGAGCTCCCGGGTATGGGCCAATGGCCCTTCTGCACTTTCCATTAGTCCTATTTTCTTAACCAAAATAGACTCAGTTTACATACACCGCAGAACGGAATACACCCCCCTCGGTGCATATATCCCTAAAGTAAACTCAGTTTAAATACACTAAACAAAGGAAAATACACTACCCGGTGTACATTTCCTTTGTTTACTTCCCATGCACCAGTAGACCTACTTATGTTATGTTTAGCTGATGACATCCATTCTCAAACTGTCGGAAGTCTGGTGTTAGGCCCTGGCACCCTGGCACTTCCCCCCAAGACAGTCCTCCACACACAACCACCTCCTCGCCTCTACACTACCCATGCCCACCCCGTCACCCACCTCTGTGTCTGGGTACAAGTGACAGGATGAACAACCCAGCGGGTTTTCTTCCTATTGGGGAGTGTTGTACATGCTGCTATGGCGGTATGTTCACTCACAAGATGAGTGGCGCTGCCCAATAAACTCGCCCCTCGGGGCAAAATTTAAAAAATTTAAAATGATAAGAAGACCAGAGATTTGTAACAGACCTAAATCTAGAGCTCAACTATAAGGCTAGGCTACAAGGAGCTAGATTTGACAAAAACAAGATTAGAGAGCAGTAGAGGAGATATGATTACTGCGTGCAAGATACAGATAATAATCAATCAGGTCACTTTATTCCACGGGGAAAATAGAAGGGTAGATTGAAACACAAATGATTCAGAAAAACGTAAGAGAGTAATGGAACTTCGAGGCATATTAACACACTAAGAACTAATAACTAGGATGCAGGAGCCCAAGAGCCCAGGTTTCTCTCCTGATTGGCACTCATAGGTAAAAATACGCACACACACACACGCGCGCGCACGCAGACACACGAAACAGACGCCGTTTCATTCATCAAGAGGGAGGGAGGGAGGCCTGGTCCGTGTGGTGTAGTGTGCCACCATTCCTCGAGTGCCTCCCCCACCGCCAGACAGCCTCGGGAGTAGCACTAACAAAACACTGCCTCTCACAGAGCTCTCAGATGGGATGAGAGGCGAGGCGGGGAGCTGGACAAGAGGGCCAGGGTGTAAGAAGATAGGGGCGGGGCACTAAGCCACACATCATGTCTACACTATAACCATAAACACCAGCTCTTCTATTACTCTCTAATATCCAATATTGAACATTATTTAAGTATAAACAAAATGACTTGCCTCAATTGTATAATATATTGTAATTGACAAAAGTGGCAGTGGAAGAAGCTTAATATTAAATGCAATCTGCAATAGCTTGAATGGGTCAACACTCTACAAAAATTTTCCGACCCACGTTCGAGTCTTCCAGATAATTAAGTTAAGGAAATGTTATTACCCATGACATTGCGGTTTGTATCTATATATTTCTCCAAGATTCAAGTACTGACCCTCGAAGGATGGAACCCCACACCAGTCGCTTAACTCCCAGGTACCTATTTACTGCTGGGTGAACTGATGTGTTAAGTGCAAGGATACGTGCCCAAATATTTCTGTCCCGCTCAGGGAACTCACGGCCGGGGATCCCGGGTTCAATCCTTCACTTGATGTACATCTTAAAATCTTTTCGAGAGACATATTACCTTCATAATGTAGCTTATAGAGACTAATTTAACCCCCCTCATCTCGTTGTTAATTAAATAGACCGAAAGTTTACGAGGCTATATGCATTGTGTGCGGAACACTCCACTGAGATAAGATTTATTGAAGAGGTAGAATAGTGGATTTTCCGGCACCTCACAATATGCACTGAGTGTGTCGTCATAAGTGTAAGCCCTTCTCTCATCTCCTAGCCTTTTAAATTTTTGAAATTTTGCCCTGAGGGGCGAGTTTATTGGGCAGCGCTACTCATCCTGTGAGTGATTGGTTGTCCATGTCCGTCCTCACTAGCTTGTGCTCTTGCTATCCTAATTTTTCTGTCTTAATGCTGCAGGAGCTTTTTCCTGCTTTAAGCTACAGGGAGAGAGGAGGATGAGGATGTTGCACACGTGTACAAGCTCTTCACCCTAACTCTTGGGATACATTGTGTCGGGTTTTGGTGTATTAGGCTTCCATTTATTTACTCAGAACTGTATGCTTAACAATTCGTGCAGCTCTTGGCTTGTCTGGTCATATGATTGGTGTTCTTACTGCCTTGTTTTGCACCGCTTGTCGTATCAACATGTTGTTTCAATACCGGCATGGTACAGGTGGGTATTAGTCTTATAGAATGTAGCTCGGAATGTTTTCCTTAAAGATATCAATAAAGATAAAAGATAAAATCTCCTTACTGTGCTTAAATATGCTGTTTTTTTGCTTTGATTATTTTATTTAGTAACTAAGTCCTGCCAGTGAACACCAGGTTGTGCCAGAACACCAGGGCCTACCAGTGAACACTAGGTCCTACCAGTGAACACCAGGGCCTACCAGTGAACACCAGGGCCTACCTGTGCACAGCTGGCCCAGCTTGTGAACACCTGGCCTTGACCACGACAAGCTGGCCCTGCTCATCGCCACCTGGGTACCCCTGTCGACAGATGCCCACAGACCCGGGGCCACACTGGAGCCAGTGTGCAGCTGCCCACCTAAACAAGCATTTAATCAGTGGCATTTCCTGAGCGGGCGCTGCCGTCCGTGACCACACTAACTCAATGATTGCTCCGCCACCTTGACAGGTCCTACCATACTGACGGGACCAACAACGTTGACGGGACCAACAACGTTGACGGTACCAACGACGTTGACAGTACTAAATAGGTATACTAAATGGCCATAATCTAACCTAACCGAGGACTCACGAAATAGAAAACGGAACATTACGTCAATTTTGCAAAGACCTGCTGTATGATTTTTGGTACGTCAGTTTTTTTTGTTTTTTTTGAGGGGCCTTACGGGATTTATACGTCAAAATGCGACGTTCTGGTCGACAGGACGGGTTGAGACGTGACCACCCATCACGCGGACAAATATGTGATGGTGCGTGACCAGTGGTGGACACCATGCTGGGAGGCGGAGACACGTTGGTCTGTGCAGGATTGCTATACACTTTACCTCGCGCCACGACTCTGTTATGGTTCATAATTTATAATCAAAATTATTTTTATTTTTATTATGATATGCTTAAGGTCTGTCATCAACCTCTGGAGAGTTATTAGTGTTTATCAACCGCTGGATAGTTATTGAGGTTTATTAACCTCTGGAGGGTTATTAAGGTCTATCAACCTCTGGAGAGTCATTGAAGCCTATCACCTCATCATTCACCTGGTTATCATCGACCAGGTGATAACAGACCAGGTGGTAACAAAGCAGATGGTAATTAGAGACCAGGATCCCAGCTGGTAACAGACCAAGAGCGAACCAACCAGGTGGAACTGACGAGGTTGACGTTGTCCAGGTGGTAATTAACCAGTCTGGAGGTGAACAGGTGGTATATAAGCCAGTAGATGGTATATAAGCCAGTACATGGTATATAAGGCAGCATGTGGTATATAAGCCAGCAGGTGGTGGTATAAGCCGGCACGTATGCCTTCGCCGGGTGAGGTCCGCCTGGTGTGACCGCCCCGTGCACACAGGCTTACCATCCTTGCTGACTCACGGAAGTGGTCCGCCGTGACGGGTACAGCATGCTGCCTACACCAGCAGCTGCTGATACAGCATGTTACAAGCACAAGGCTGACGCTACAGCTCCAAAAAAAGGAACTCTGACGCTTCAGGTTTCAGATGCAATCACACTGAATGGGTTACAGGATATACAGACTTCGTGAGTTCGTTAATGTATATATATATGTATATATATATATATATATATATATATATATATATATATATATATATATATATATATATATATATATATATATATAATGAGGTGTACAAGGCTTGCAACAGGTGTAGTGGCAGAGGTAGTGAGGTGTATAAGGCTTGCAACAGGTGTATTGCTATGCAAGCAGGCCAGACCTGTGGTTGTGGAGGAGTGAGTCATGGCAGCTTCCGGGAGTGAGGGAGGGAGGGAGGGTAGGGGGAAGGAGCTTCCTTGTCCTCAGGTGACACCTTAAGTGATGGGGGGGCTCAGGAGGGGGGAAGGTGGAGGGAAGGGGGTCTTATGGGGAGAGGGTAGGGGGAGGGGGTTGGGGATGGGGTAGAACAACTGAAGGAATGCAACCTCATCAGTATACATAACAACTGAAGGAATGTAACCTCATCAGTATACATAACAACTGAAGGAATGTAACCTCATCAGTATACATAACTGCAGGAATGTAACCTCATCAGTATACATAACAACTGAAGGAATGTAACCTTGCCAAGTCTTAAGGATGAATACCTACGCTGTGTCATTGTCGTGTAAACTTTACCTGAGAATTTGCTTGATATACATTCCAAGGTCATCAACTTTCACAAATTCCAACGTAAATATTTGTCAATGACAAGCCGTTGTCACGTGGAAATGCAGTTCGTTCAATGGATTATAAAACCATTTTTTTTAAATAGTTTTCCAACTCTCGCTTCTAATACAATAACATAATAGTGAAAATCATGTTCCACTTACTGTAGCAAAACATTCTTTAGTAAGATCGTGTTTGCTCTTTAAGACATCTTTTAAAGCATGTGTTTGGATCTAACTAAATGATGAAAATCTTGCAAGGAAGTAAAGGAAGATTCATCGAAGCATCCATAGACAACATTACACACACTTATCTAGGCAGAACAGTGACAACCATCCATAATACAGTGGTGGAGCACAGTTCAAGTTAAAAAAAAGGTTAACATTCTGCAAAAACGCTCACTAACATATGGTTCACACATTTCAGTGGCCTTAAGAAGTTCACTGACGTATGGTTGACACATTTCAGTGGCCTTAAGAAGTCCTGAGACCGGAACACTGTTAGTCCAGGGAACATGTTCTTGCTTACCATTATCAACACAGTTGTCCTGTACACAAATAAAATCGCAGGAAAGAGCTATATCTCATCGAAAATCTTCAGAGCAGGACTGTGGGATAGGACCAGCGTACTGGGTCCTCCCCAGACCTAGCCTTACCAATGGATTAGGATACTTCCTAATTTCAATGGCTTCGGATGTAGTTTTTTCTAGAGGAGATAAATGAGCACGAGATACAACCCACAGATTTGAAAATATAGCAACTGGCGACGTTTCTGTCCGTCCTGGATAATTATTAAGTCGATCTGTCCTGGACATAATAATGGTCCGGGGCTGGACACAAACGTTGTCAATTCATATATTTTCAGATTTATGGGTTGTGTGTTTAATTTTCATCCTCGTTATTCTGACTTTTTTGTCTGTAAATGAACAGCAGAGGCAAACAAGTTTACATGCTGTTAGTACTATTTCCAAGACTTTACATAAAATTTAAATTTTGCCCCGAGGGGCGAGTTTATTGGGCAGCGCCACTCATCCTGTGAGTGGACGCACCGCCATAGCAGCATGTACAACACTCCCCAATAGGAAGAAAACCCGCTGGGTTGTTCATCCTGTCACTTGTACCCAGATACAGCTGGGACTTGCTTAACTGTCTCAAGTGAACAGCTTATCAAACAAGAAGATTAACATCTGTCAACCCTTACAATCTTACGTTATCTTGCGGATGCAAAATGGGAGGAATCTTTTAAGAACAGTATCAATATTTGACAAATAGTGTTTTCCTTACTCAAACAATGTGGGGTTTATTATTCTACACATATTTCTAATGTCTCAGATGTTCACATTCTCTCAGGTAGTGATCAAGGCGGTGTCCGTCACTCTCACTACATATTCTGCAACTCCTCTGCTCAATTGTTGTTTCCAGACCGTACATCTTTACACATTACTACACTTATGGTCCTGCTGAACTAGTCCAGCAACCATTACTACACTTGTGGTCCTGCTGAACTAGTCCAGCAACCATTACTACACTTATGGCCCTGCTGAACTAGTCCAGCAACCATTACTACACTTATGGTCCTGCTGAACTAGTCCAGCAACCATTACTACACTTATGGCCCTGCTGAACTAGTCCAGCAACCATTACTACACTTGTGGTCCTGCTGAACTAGTCCAGCAACCATTACTACACTTATGGTCCTGCTGAACTAGTCCAGCAACCATTACTACACTTGTGGTCCTGCTGAACTAGTCCAGCAACCATTACTACACTTATGGTCCTGCTGAACTAGTCCAGCAACCATTACTACACTTGTGGTCCTGCTGAACTAGTCCAGCAACCATTACTACACTTGTGGTCCTGCTGAACTAGTCCAGCAACCATTACTACACTTATGGTCCTGCTGAACTAGTCCAGCAACCATTACTACACTTATGGTCCTGCTGAACTAGTCCAGCAACCATTACTACACTTGTGGTCCTGCTGAACTAGTCCAGCAACCATTACTACACTTATGGTCCTGCTGAACTAGTCCAGCAACCATTACTACACTTATGGCCCTGCTGAACTAGTCCAGCAACCATTACTACACTTATGGTCCTGCTGAACTAGTCCAGCAACCAATGCAGAAAATATCGTCTGGTCAGACGAGACCAGTAAGTGACCAGGTCGGTCTAGGGTGTCCACCGACAATGGTCTGAAGACGACACGGAAAATACAACTTTTGGTAATACATTCACCCACGCAGCGGCCGCGTGTGAGTGAACCTGCTCGCCGAAGGGGGTGTAAAGTTATGCACTAATAAAGTTTGATTATGTCGCAACAAGACTAAACTCTCTTCATTAAGAAAAGTTTTCATATAAGCACATATGTACAAGGCGTGTGGTGGTGGTGGAAGGCGAGGCAGCTGGTTACTAGGGTAATATTAACATTCCACTCGCCCGCCCGTCCGCCCGCCCGCCCGCTCGCCCGTCCGTCCGTCCGTCCGCCCGCCCGCCCGCAGAGAGCTGGACCATTTGAGTGAGGACGGGTTGGTGGACCATCTTGTCACCAGAAGTTGGAAGCACTTGCTGGTACAGTGTTACACCGCTGGACACTCCACACGTTCCTCCAGCACTTCTGGAATAAAAGAATGAGAGTTCTACTTTTTAGCATACCCAACACAATGTCTCAGACAAAATATATATTCATAATTCGCCCGCCCGAGGCTTATTACAATCCCGCGGAGGCTATGAGGCGGCTCAGGCGGGGATAACGAGTCAGTGAATGAATGTTATGGGCCAAGTTGGCCAAGTTGCGGCCTGGTTCACGCTCACCTCACAAGGTAGGTTATGGCGCCGACTGTGAGGAGAGGTGGGGGTATTGCTCCCATCTCTTGAGTTTTGTGAATATATTATAACTGGTTCAAGTTCAAGTGAGTTTAGTGAGATGATAAAGTATATCCCGAGGGGATAGAGTAGCTTCGGAAGTGATTATTTTTATCCTTCTCTATTACAAGTCCCCTCAGTTTCTGAACGCACTCTCATCACAACCGAAAGGTCCCAGGTTCGATTCCCGCAGCAGCAGCGGTGCTGTAGTAAAGCGCTTGAGTAACGTATCGGTTGGGTTCTTCACGAACAACCATAAACTTATTAATAAAGAGCTCTCCCGACACCAAGCGAAATGCCTTGACAGAGACAAATGTGGGTTATGTCATCACCATTGTACCATTACAATGGTACAATGTATGATGGTGTTCAATGTATTACAATGGTGTTTTGTACCAAGTACAGAACACCCTCACCACTGTAGCAAAAGGTACAGTGTTATGTGCTCGAAAGTAAAATAATGTCATGATGAACCACCAAAAAATAGGCTTTTGTAGTACTGAATTTGGACAAATTGGAAATATGTTCATATTTATATTGTTAACCTAATCTAACCTAACCTATCCTTACCATCTTAGACCTGATACACGCTATCTGAGGTCTAGTATAGTAGATATATGTGCCATAGTTAGGCATGGAAATATTTAAGCTTGGTTTTAGGCTTTTCTGAACTCTACACAAAATAATACCAAAAATGGCTGACTGGAGCTCATGTACTACATATTGGTATGATTGACAACATAGTTGTACAAAGTATTATCAAAACAGGATGATGGTTGGTATATTTCTATTAGAAAAAAATCAGTTTTGATTTTTTAATATTTTCGTAGGTAGTGCATGCCAAAAATCGTCGTGGGGTTCTGAATGTGAACCTGGCTGGCTGTTCTATTTTGAATTCCGGGGACCCGACCAGCCTGTCTTGAGATCCTCTTGAGGTTATCTTGAGATAATATCGGGGCTTAGCGTCCCCGTGGCCCGGTCCTCGACTAGGCCTCCTTTTTGTTACACACCCCCAGGAAGCAGCCCGTAGCAGCTGTCTAACTCCTAGGTACCTATATACTGCCAGGTGAGCAGGGGCATCAGGGTTAAAGAAAATTTGTAAGATTTCTTTCCGCCTCCACAGGGGATAAAACCTGAAACCTCAGGACTACGAATCCCGAGTGTTTTCCACTCAGCCGTCAGGCCCCTAAATTCATCCCATACCCCAAACCCTTCTGCCAATTCGAGTGAAGTCTGACCATCAACTTTGGACAGACAAGACAGTGCCTCTGATAGTTTAGATATAAACTCTAACTTCCTGTCCTCGATATAACGACTATATTTGTGTGGGATGTAACTCTAACATAGAGAAACTGCTCCTACTGCGAGGAAGATCTAGGGGCTATTATTCATTTGGATCTTAAATCTTAAAATTATGTATAAGTGGTCAAAATAAAGGATATAAAGTGCTGGGATTTTTAACAAGAAGCATTTGGTTCGCCTAATGGTTCTCAAGGTTAGGTACAGGAAGTCTGTTACTGAGTTATCGGCAGACCTTCTCCAGGAAGCAACCCTCAACTGTTGCCCAACTCCTAGCTAGCTATTTAATGCTTGGTGAACAGATATATCGGGTGAAAGGAAATGTTTCCCAAATGATTTTGTCCAACCGAGGAGGAATCAAGCCTAGAACTACTGAGCTACAGAACCCCTCAGCAATAAGACATCTGATATAATCCATCAGTTTTATTTTTCTAGGCCACATTACCACTATGTATTTCAGTTTTGTATATAAAAATAGTCATTGGAACAACTACATATAAACATGGCAAAAGTAATTTCTATAATTAAAAACCTACCTTTAGAAAAAAAAGAGATTAGGAAAGCCTAAATTAATTTCTCAAGGAAGGCTAAAAGTAAGGTGTGACATGCCTGAACTATACACACAAATATCAGAGAATAACAGAGGAGATAATATAGGAAATATAACAGCACTATATATAATATAATATAAGGGTAGGAAATATAACAGCACAAAATAGAACACGAAACAATAGATATAAACGTTATAAATTTTCTGTAGATTGAGAAAAGGCCTGAATATAAAATGGTCTGTGAATAGGATTGTTTATTTATAGAGTAAGTTGCTAGGTAACATGATAGACTTGGCACCTCTGGAATGCTTTCAACCAACGCTACACAAATGCCTTTGTTTTGGTATAAATAGAAGCCTCACATGGACCAATAGGCAGTCTGCAGTTTCCTTCATTTGGAATATTCTTATCATCAACTCCAACTGAGTTTACTTACATGTATATATATATTCATCAGACGCAGTTAAGTTTACACATATTTACGAACCATCCAATTCAAGTGAAGCTGACTTTTTTTTTAACCATAGGTCTTCTGCAAAGTTGGCTTTTAATGCTCGAACCATCAGAATCCATGAATGTAGACTCAAATGTAGATAATAGAGCCCCAATAGTTAGGAATCTGTACTTCCAGTTGATTGACGGTTGAGAGGCGGGACCAAAGAGCCGAAGCTCACCCCTCCCCTCCAGCGTGGTGGCGTTCACCCGCTTTGCTTCTTCCCACCCCCCACGCTGCCCCCCCCCTTTCCCCCCTTCTTCCCATCTCCCCTCCCCCCCCCTTCCCACCCTCCACGACCCCCCTCCCCACCCCAACCCTCCACCCAAGTGCTGGGAGTCACCATGTGTGGGATAAAGCCTTTAATCTCGGCTACGAATACTTGTTTAATTTTAATTGTTTTCTGCTCCTGCTAATTGAGCGGTCAGAGACTGGGAGCGTCGGGCGCTGTGTTCCCTCACCTCTCACCTTTCCTCACTTCATACCTCCCCCACACTAGCTTCTCCTCTCCCCTCGTCTCTCACTTCTCACTTTCCCCTCTCTCTCTCTCTCTCCCTTTCCCACCGATTGAGATTGTTCAGGCGGCTAGAGGCTATTGCCAGGCTACAGAGGACAGTATTTTCTGAACTTGAAAAGTACAGCACCAGGCAGCTGAGGGGTGGTGATGGAAGGGGAACCACCAGGAGGGATGGTGATGGAAGGGGAGCCACCAGGAGGGATGGTGATGGAAGGGGAGCCACCAGGAGGGATGGTGATGGAAGGGGAGCCACCAGGAGGGATGGTGATGGAAGGGGAGCCACCAGGAGGGATGGTGATGGAAGGGGAACCACCAGGAGGGATGGTGATGGAAGGGGAGCCACCAGGAGGGATGGTGATGGAAGGGGAGCCACCAGGAGGGATGGTGATGGAAGGGGAGCCACCAGGAGGGATGGTGATGGAAGGGGAGCCACCAGGAGGGATGGTGATGGAAGGGGAGCCACCAGGAGGGATGGTGATGGAAGGGGAGTCACCAGCTAGGAGGGATAGTGATGGGAGGGGAACCAAGATGTTTTTATCTCTCAGCGCTGGCCTGGCTGAGGGTCGGACCCCTGGTGGATAGTGTTACACTCTCCCCAAGTTGAAACCTGAGGCTTCGAACCCCCGTCCCCTCACCCACCCACACCCCAGTCTTCACCCACACTCCCAGAGCCCTTCACCCACACCCCAGAGCCCTTCACCCACACCCCCAGAGCCCTCACCCACACCCTAGAGCCCTCACCCACACCCCAGAGCCCTTCACCCACACCCCAGAGCCTTCACCCACACCCCAGAGCAATTCACCCACACCCCAGAGCCCTTCACCCACACCCCAGAGCCCTCACCCACACCCCAGAGCCTCACCCACACTCCAGAGCCCTCACCCACACCCCAGAGCCCTCACCCACACCCCAGAGCCTCACCCACACCCCAGAGCCCTCACCCACACCCCAGAACCCTTCACCCACACCCCAGAGCCTTCACCCACACCCCAGAGCCCTTCACCCACACCCCAGAACCCTTCACCCACACCCCAGAGCCTTCACCTACACCCCAGAGCCCTTCACCCACACCCCAGAGCCTTCACCCACACCCCAGAGCCCTTCACCCACACCCCAGAGCCTCACCCACACCCCAGAACCCTTCACCCACACCCCAGAACCCTTCACCCACACCCCAGAGCCCTCACCCACACCCCAGAGCCCTCACCCACACCCCAGAACCCTTCACCCACACCCCAGAGCCCTCACCCACACCCCAGAGCCCTCACCCACACCCCAGAGCCCTCACCCACATCCCAGAGCCTCACCCACACCCCAGAACCCTTCACCCACACCCCAGAGCCCTCACCCACACCCCAGAGCCCTTCACCCACACCCCAGAGCCCTCACCCACACCCCAGAGCCCTTCACCCCCACCCCCAGAGCCCTCACCCACACCCCAGAGCCCTTCACCCACACCCCAGAGCCCTCACCCACACCCCAGAGCCCCTCACCCACACCCCAGAGCCCTCACCCACACCCCAGAACCCTTCACCCACACCCCAGAGCCCTCACCCACACCCCAGAGCCCTCACCCACACCCCAGAGCCCTCACCCACATCCCAGAGCCGTCACCCACAACCCAGACCCCACACCACAACTAACACCACTTTGGAACTCCCCCTTCCCCCCCCCACATCACCACCTCGGACCTAACCAGATCTTAACCCACATATCAGGCAATAATCCCATCACCCCCCCACACACCCCCCTCCTACACCCTCACCAACCAGTAGATGAAGGCCACTTAGTACTAATTAAATCCCCCTCTGACGGGGTTACTGTAGGCGGTGCTGGCGTCTGGTAGGATAACGTCCTCCCTCGCTACACCTCGCTACATTACTGTCCTCGC